TTAAGAAACGTTCTCTCTGCTGTGCACTTCCAGCTCCACAGCTCAATTGGAATGCTCCTGAACACGCAGACCAAATTATAGACTAACAGAGAAAAAGACAAAAATTCTCGGTTTGAAAATGGCATAAAATCACAAAAATATGTGTGCACAGGAGGCATGTGAGGAAAATGAGACAGACTGGATGTTTAGAAAATGAATTTAAATGTGGTGAACATACTAAACTGCTCATTTGAATGAAGTCAACATGAACCAGACCAATGACGTCAGGAGGACTGGCACTGGATATTCTCCTGTGTACCGAGTCCCCCAGACCAATAAACACAGCTAAAATTGTTCTTTTGCAATCCCTGAGTATATTCTAGTCTAGTCTATACACTCATGTGCTTTTTTTGTTGATTTAGCTTTACTGGAGGTGTTTTTTAGTCTGGGCATTTTCATTCAGTTTTCCAGTGTGGTTGCTTAATGACTGAGGAATGTCATTCACTACTCCTATGCACGTTTTACTTGTACTTGAGTTATTTATAATTCTCATACAAAACCCACCTTCTAACAGACTAGTAAAACATAAGTTAGTAGTGTAGCAACTGTAGTTTTTGATGCTGGAAAGATATATTATTAAATTTGATCTTAGCTGACAGCAGAGGCGTATTTGAAAAGTCCAGTTCAGATTAAATTTGAAAAGCTAATAGGAGTCTGTCTGGTTTCCCCTTCTCCTCCACCATTTCTGTTTGATGTAGAGACTGATTTACAATTCAAACAGAGATAATGTAACTCACTCGTGGATGTCTGTATGCAGTACCAGCCATTGTATGGGAATACTAATACGATATAAGGAGACATTCTGGTTCATAATTAAAGAAATACATCAAGCTGAATAGCTGTCATAGAAATGGCTATACCAGATGGAGGAAAATATATTTTTATCATTTGCACTACAAAACTACAAGTCAAGCACACATATTGCATGCAAATATAAATAATCTAAATAATTGTACCTTTTTTCTTTTATGAGGACCAGGAACATCTGGCATTAAAGTGGCTACTAAAATGTGACATTCACAGACTCCTGATTCACCATAGGAGAGAGAAGAAACCCCTCAGCCCAACAACAGGTTTGCACACCGACACAGAATTTCCTGTCTTTTTTTAAAGGCTAAATGGCACTATAGCAAGTATTTAACACCATCCATTGCTGATTTTGTCATTCTGCATTTGGTTGCTCTACCAGGACATTGGAACCCTATTTTGTAAAAGTAATCAAGTCACAAAGCAGTGATATGTAGCTTTTCTGGCTGTGGGAAAGAAACATGTTGTATGGTATTTTGTAAATTAAAGTTAAGTAAAGTAAGTAAATTAAAGTTAAGTAGTACAGAAGGTAGATATTTGCAGTAGCAATTGTGTGTAAAATCACACACAGGTTTTTACATTGTTTGTTGTACAAGAAACCTGATTAAGCATGTCATGAAAGGTATCATTAGTACCGTTCTCCTGCTCCAACATATTGAAAGTGTTGGAAGTTTTCTTTGGAGTCATTGTTAGAGGTTTACAGGAGCCCTGCTTTACTATTCAAATTAAAGCCATAGCTTTGAAGATTGGATTGTGAATTGATTGTGGTATGAAATCACTAAGTGGAAAATTTTACAAATTGATGAAAACATGATAATAATAACAGCTCATTTCCTCGTGTCTGAAGACACTAGTACAACAAGAAATATGTGGAACAAAAACAGGACAACAGTTTGGCTGTTCCTTTTATGTCAAGAACATATTTCGCTCATTCATACCCCAATAAAATGTATTTCCACTTTTTAATTTATTTTATGTTTATGATTGATCCTCACTTTTGTTTAGCTGAATTTTATTAAAATTCCATATATGAATATTGCAAAGCTGAATACTAAATAACGTGTGGAACATTAGTCCTTACAATGTGATAGACTTGATCTGTGAAGGAAGAGGTTTTTCTCGATTGATGGGGTGGTGTAACTGTGAATTACAGAAGTCATTTTCAAAAAGGAGCAATGCAAAAATCATGGCAGAAGAAAAGATCTTCACTGCTCATCGTACGGTCTTCTACCTACTGATAACTTGGGTCCAAAATGTCTTTTGTGACTTGCCTACTAATATTGAATTACCATAATTGTCTTGGGGACCTAGCAGGATAAGCTAGTGAGTGTCCAATTTTCTGCATAGATGACAGCACAACGCCTTGTCTTATTTGACCTTGAGTTGAGAGAATAGCAATATGCCCAATTAAATAATATTTTGTTCTATCTATGCAAATGTTCAACATGTCAGAAAAAGGGTTATTTGAAACCATAAGGAATGAATATTTAAGTCTTTCTGAATCTACCATGTGACAGAAGAGAACTGGAATGAGCAGAAAGCATTGTATCTCTTGGTGCATCAAATTCATGAATGTAAATATTTGTAAATATTTGTAAAATATAGTTGGTTTGAGAATAACTCAATGACTTTGTATTACTGTATGAGTGATAACACAAAGCATGTGTCATTAGTCAAGGTTATGACAGAGAAGAAAGCTTTATTTATTATTACTTTTTAATGGTATAATAATAATAATTATTATTATGGTCAGGCAGGAAAATCAACTGAATAGTGGAAAAGAAGCATTTACTTTCATTTTTGTACAATAATCTGTATAATAAGCATATAGATAGTCTCTCCATAATTACAGCAATAGTACTGTGTAATTGTATAGTATATGTGGATATTTTACAATACAATACAATAATTTTCAATACAGTCTCCTATGGAAAAAAAAGGAAAAAAATCCTTTAATTAGCTGGTCTGACAATCAGCACAGTAACAGCAATTTACTCTTTAAAAATGGATTTGATCAACAGTCAAGAAGACTAATACATTTCAATATATAAAAATACAACCAATTTCACTTTGAACTAATTACGGAAAACATCTGAATTTTCAGATTCTTCACATCTATTGATTTGGATTATTCTGACAATCCAATCAGAGCTGGTATGCAGTAATGAGACCACTTTGACTTTGCTTTACAAAAAGACATGCCCAAAGAACACCAAATGCTTTCAAAGGAGCTGACAAGTCTATAATGGGACACCTATTGGACTAAAAGCTAGGCATTATTAGATCTAGAATAAAAAGAAAATGAACTTTGTAGGTATACTGTATATCTTTAGTTGTGCAGAGAACACAGAGGAAGAGTGAAATCGGAGTAAAATTGTAGAGCTTGGTGGCAGAAGTAGGTCGTGATTGTGCCTGAGTATAGGAGGAATGAGTACGAGGTATAGAGATGAAAGAGACTCTGGGGTTTAGGGAGAGAGGGAAGATCAGAGGAGCAAGGTAAGACACTGCAGCTGGGGATCTGGGGGGAGACACATCGTGCTGAAGGCAGTGGAGCTCAAAACTAAATCTTCTATTGAGAAAGTTTGAATTTTACACCACTTACTTTAATTCAAGGCAAAAAGAAGCAGAATTGAAACAAAATTACAAAAACAGAGTAGTACAAGCAGAGGACACAATAAACACAAGCCATTAAAAAGCAAATAATTCATGTTTAGAATTGAGTTTCTAATTTCAGTGTCAGGCCAGTTTTTTAGAAAACAATGGTTAGATTAGAGTAGAAAATGTGGCTGTAATGAAGCTGTTGAGGACAAAGTCAAATTTAAATTGAGTTCACAAAAAATATGAAATGGCTTATGTGTGTATTTTGCTTAAAGCATTTACAGAAGATATCTTTTGTAGAAACTATATAGTCATGCATGTGTGGACATAGGCTACACATGCATCTGTTAATATGCTCTTGGGGAAATGCTAATTATGTGATTGTGTCTTGTGCACTGAGAAAAATGTTCTGGCTGTTTCAAGTTTTTCTTGGTTAAAGACCTACTCAATTTCCAGAATTAGAAACACCCCACTGTTTTTTTCCCTGTATTCTTGGTGAAATTGTCTTTGACCAGATTTGTTCAGATTTTAACTCAATAAAATCACTGAATATTAATATTTTTGTACTTGAGGCACATGCCCAGATCCCTTTAAATCCTTTTTAAATACTGTTTTTGTAAAAATGTAAGCTATGATCTGTCACACTAGAAAACAGTGAAGAGTCTTTAAGTCAACTTAAAGAAAGCAATGCCAAGGTATAGACCCAAAGGAACACAGTCAGAGATATTGTGAGATATTGTAAATCCTGATAAATAAGATGGTTCACCTACACATCTATAAGTGATTATGTGTCTGTGTGCAATCATGGCTTTACATACTCATTTACCATCTACTTCGCAGAAAATCATACAGCAATTTTAGTCTGTCAAATTAAGTAATCACCACAAGGTCATGTTACTCGTGCATAGAATAGTAGAGCTTGAGTAATCTTGCCTCTAGACATATTGTTTGATAGAGCTACACAGTTTAATACTGGAAATAAAGACCACTGACAATAATTATGTCTTAATGAAATAAATAATACACTTGGTAACACCTAACTAAAAAAAAAACTAAAAAAAACTGAAGATCAAGAATTCTTAAAATAAAAAATAGGTTAAATTTCTACCTCACAGCATTATTCTTTAAAGCTTATGTTCCTGAATCCTGCCTGAGTTTATTGAATTACAGATTTACATGCAAATGATTTCTTCTCGTCCCTCCCTCTCCACCCACCCCTCCCTCGCTCGCCCCTCCCTCCCACTTTCCTCTTCCCTGCACACTAAAGAGCACTCAGTCTGCGCACTCCCCTCATTTCTCTATTGCTCCAACATGTTGGCAGGAGGAGACCGGGGAGGATGCTGCGCTCTACCCACACCGCTTTCCCGTCACCTCTCTGGCCGGCGCACGCTGTCTCCAACTCCGACTCAGCACCGTCCGCCACTTTCAGTTGCCTGCACTTGAAAGACTTGAGGGAAGAGGCTCCCGGGGAGAAGGAGGAGACCAGGACTTTTCGAGGCAGAGTACCTAAGAGCGGCAGGGACTTGTCTGTTGTAGAAAGTGCTGGGTGCCCTGCTTCTCCTCCAAGATCCATGTGGCAGGAGGCAATAAGAAGGAAGCGCTACCTCCTGGACCAGGCTGGGGCATCCGGAGTTTGGGATAAGACCGGAGCGCATGGACAAGCACGGGGCATGAGGAATAAGTCCCAGGATGGGCTGTATGAGTCCTACTACTGTATGAGCCAGCAGCACCCTCTGATTGTCTTTCTACTGCTCATAGTGATGGGCGCCTGTCTGGCTTTACTGACTGTGTTCTTTGCTTCAGGACTGGTAAGGCTCTCCAGCAACATCTCTGGAAATATGTACTTAAATATTTGATGCATGTCCAAGCATACGCATGTACATAAGGCGTAGATATTGAACTACCAAGCAAGCTGGGTGCCAGGGTCAGTGAAGCTGGCATGCTCATAAACTCACTGTATGCCTGGTTCTCATGTTTATATATACAGGACTCTTATCATTCACAAGCCAGCTGATGGAAAATAGCCGATCCAATTACAGTATATGTCAGTATATTTCACAGTGCAAACACATAAACACACAGTTTGAGAGCTCAAGCGTGCACGTGTATGCACCCTCTCTCAGCATGTGGTCCTCATCGCAGCACTAATGTGAAGAGAAAGGTGAGATAAAAGTGAGGGGGGATATGGGGCTTGGTTATTGTCTGATCTTACGCTCAGTTGAACTACAGAAGAGAGAGCTCTTTTGCCTCTGTCACTATTTTGACAGGGTTATCTATTCTAGAGGAATTAAATGTGGAGTGGTAGGCTTTGTAAAAGCTAAAAATAGACACTTACTTGGTGGTCATACTGAGTAAAGAATAAAAAGCGATGCTTCTTTGATTATATATCTCAACATTGTGATATTTAATGTATATAGATGGCCCAAAATAACCATTCACAAAACCTTATTACAAGGGTGCCTCACCCATCCCCTGTCCTTCCTGATAAACTGCTGAGAGCTGCTTAATCTGACCCATACCAGCAGAGACAAAGCGTTTATCACAAAAGGCATATGTAGATGACAAACACTTTTATAACATTAATAAAATTTACACTTAGACCCCATGGAATTGTACAATAATAATCAAATCAAGGTTTTCACCATCTGAGTCTTGAAAATATTGTTGATTTCATGGAAGTTATTTTGATTTGATCACTACACTGTGTTGCCTACAACGTAGGCACAGTATTTCACGGGAATATATAAACAGGAATAATGCATATATTTCCTCAAATAGTCCAAAAGCATGGGCTGTAACATTCACTATTTGTGTATATAACACTAAGTACTTTTATTGGCTTTCAATAAACAAGCTCTTGAGTGAAAGTGTTGTTCTTTCAGACGTTTCTCACTATATTAGCGGAGCGCATTTCCCTCCTTGTTGTGCTGTGTACTGGACAGATGAGGCTTTTGCTCCTTGTTATTTTTCCATCAGCCTTTATTACTCTCTGTTGAGGTGCCCTGTGTCATCTTTCACCTCTTCATATCTGTCTCTCTTTTATTCGTGTCTCCCTCCATTTTGCTGGCTGACCTAAATCTTGTGCTGTTTTGGATCTTTGCTTTGGGCAAGACAAACTCTCAGTGGCTCTCTGCCACTGCATACATGCATGGCGTTCTGTCCCACTGCATCGACTGCAGGCAGAATAGAGCCAGCAGTTAGTGGGGGCTGGAGTGTGTGATGGAGAGAGCACTGGGGGCCCAGTTACACAAGAGGTCTTATGCACCATACATTGCAGGTAAAATATATAAAAAGATCATACATACTGTATGATCTGTCATCAAAATGTAGACTCACTGACACTGACTGCAAATGTAGCAGTGTTTGTTATAGTGCACAAGTAGATTGATTTAAGGTGACTGTAGAGTTCATATGGGCCTAGACTGCCACATTTTGTCATCAAGGGGCTATAATGCATCTGCTTACCATATCAATATCAATACAGGACAACCTGATGGAATGAATTACAGCAAAGCAGCCAGGAAAAATGAATGAATGCACTGTGCTGTGACTCTGCACCAAGAGCCTCCTGAAAATCTGCTTTGCACTTTCAAACTCAAATGTATTTATGAGAGGCCAGTGCATATCCATTACACATGCAAAGTAGTTAACTGACTTTTTTTTTTTGTTATGTTTGATTTACATTGCTATTTTGCTTTATTGATATTTTTGACTAAAATGCATATTTTTCTTTGCAGAACATTGAGGACCACGTGGCCTTCGTAATCACTGTACCCACGGCACTGGCTATTTTTCTGACTGTGTTTGTACTGGTCTGCGTTGAATCTATCTTCAAGAAGCTCCTCCATCTCTTCTCCCTGCTCATTTGGGCTTGCCTGGTTGCCATGGGCTATCTTTTTATGTTTTCTGGGGGTATCGTCTGTCCCTGGGATCAGGTATGATAGTTACTTTATAAGATAGTGGTAGAATACTTAAACTCTTTTGTACTATGTGCATTCTTAATCCAATGCAGTATGAAATTGTCTCATCAGATTTGTTCAGATGTTAACTTCTTTTTGTGGGCTGATGGGCAATGCAATGAATAAGACAAGGGGATTTAGGTTGCTTGTAAAAAGGATTTTTATTCCTCCTCTAGAGATTTATGACCCACTTCCTAAAATAGTCTTTGTAAGTTAAGGATGTATCAGACATCTGCTGGTCTATGTGCACGAGTGCACGATGACAGTACTAGTGAGGCTAATACATCTTGAAGATTTGTTCTGCATTATTTTTTTAGGTTAAAATATGAACAAATTTAGGACAGTTTGGAGGAAGGGTAAAGGGCCATTGCTATATGTTTTATTGATGACATGTGCATAGGAAGACATTTCTCCACTACACCTAGGGATTGATTATGTAGTCATTACCCAAGAATAAATGCAGGAACATGAAGTACTATTAGTCTGTGAATATAAAAATGAGAGATATGTCATGTTTGACTTACCAGTGCCTATGCTTGTATAAACGCACCATCACAGATGTTTTCTGTGAGACTGTTGTAAATCATGTGGAGTAAATCAATACATGATTTTTTGTCCATACATTTATCAAGGCTCGGGGAGTGAAGTGGAGACCTGCTGACTGTGTCCCACGTGGCTCCTCACACCAGGCAGCTGCATATGAATCAGGATCAGCACATAAAATGCACTTGATCTGAGATCAGTGTTCCTGCAGGGCTCTATGCTCAATATTTTTAAGTGGTCCACACTGGTGTCTTATCATCTAATGGAATTATTGGAATCACCTTCAAAAACAAGACATTATTAGACTATCATGACTATACGTCTGCAAACAATGTTTATTCTCTGTGCCTGAGATATTATACCTCTCCATACCTCTCCTTTCTATATTATGTGGTATAATGTTATTCATTAGTTTTACTTGGCAAATATTCAGTCAATGTCTAGCTAAATTGGAAACAAGTTACAATTAGACAGTTTTTTTTTTTTTTTTCTGTTTTTTTTTAACACATTCAGGACCACATCATTTGCATTTCACAAGTGATCTTTACTTCTTGTCAGCTACCGCAGGCCTGCTGAATCTTGGACTCCAATGATATTGACTAGCCCTGTGTGAAATGTGTTGAATTTTAAATAACGTGAATCACAATTTAAGGTGTGATAAATCACAATACGTCTTAGCTGTTGTTGTTGTTGTTGTTGTTGGAGTTTGTCTTTTTGACATATCAGCATTGATCAGTAAAACAGTACCGTACATTCCTTTCTGTTCTCTCTCCCTAATGTTAAAGTGATTCATATAAGCCATGGTAATTAACACGGTCCTGGTTCGGAGTTTTAAAATTTAGATACTTTATTTACATTATATATACTTTGCCACCATGATAAACAGCTTTTTGGTGCCTTATTACACTGGTATTTCCTAATTCTTACAGTGTATACATCTAAATTACACAGCTGTTTTTCTAATTTTGTAGCATATATCACCCCGAACACTTTTGACACCTTTTATTTTATATAAATTGCCTTTGAATGCTATAGTACACATTACTCTAATCGGCACTTTTTTGCAGTCACTAAGTGGAACTGGATGAGACAAAGAACAAGAGTCAGAGTTAATTGGTTGGAATCCTTGAGATCGTAACTATGAGATGCAGTCCCTACTTTAAGTGTATCTTTGGCCTCATTAAGGACGGCTTCGTTTGTCTTATAGTGGTTTTGTTGCTAAGCAGATTAGGAATTTGTCATCCAGTGCATGATGCATATAGGTTGCCAAGTTACAATACATGCTGATGATTTTCATGTTCACAAATATTACTGTACTACAGTCCACAGTGCAAATGTAAATAAAATGTGCTAGGTAGTTAGATTATCCTCACCACAGATTTGAGTTTGTTTTTTTAATTTAAAATTCTGATGACCTCATTTTTCACCGAAGTCTTTCTCCTCAAATGGTTCTGTGCCTTATCTGTACAGTCCAGCCACTAGCCCTCACCCTGTGAGATGTCTGGACCTTGTCTTTCTCTTCCTTCCCTTTGTCTGTCCCTCCATTTCTGCTGTGTCTCCTCCATACACAGGGAGAAAAGTCTTTTGTGAGTACACACCAGGCTCATTAGGCTTTGGCAGCAGAGCAGTGAATGACGTGTATGGCAGGAGTATTATATTAGGGCTGCCTGGAATAGTAAAGGTCTGACAGTGGAAATGTAAGGAAATAATGGGAGCGAGCTGCTTTATGTTGGAGTAAGAGTACTATAACTTTAGAAAAGAAACTCTGAATGTAGGATCTGTCAACAATTTTTGCTTTGTTAATATTATATTTGCTGTTGTTGTAGCCAATCTGAGTGGCATATTGATTTGCACTGTAGCTTCATTTAAGTATATCAAAATTTGCCACTGTGTCCACACCCTAAAAGCCTAATGTAATCTAACACTACCTATCTAATTGGATTTCTCAGCTGCTGTCTCTGCTATTGTCATTATATTGATATATGAAGTAGGAATGGAGTTGACTGAACATGCACAAGCCTTGTCTATGTGATTGTCACAGAGGATCCTTGTCATTTGAAATAATGTGGTGTAACTATCTATACATTGCCAGTGGCTCATTGCAGTCTCCACTCTTCAAGTCAGCAGGTGTCTTAGTTTCCTACCCTCCGTTATCCATTATCTACACAGTCTTGTTATTCATTTAGCAGCATTGGATTTCAGTCATTTAGCTACCACATTAGGTTTCTGTGCACAGTAGTAATTTGCAAACACTCTTTGGAATGGCCTTATGTTTTTATATTCATGTTAGAATTGTAAGCAATATGTGTGGAGATGATTTTAAACTTTGGAGGAATACATTGGACTATTGTTTTGTGGTCAGTGGCCCTCAAATTATTTGAAAACACTGAAAGCCGTTTTGGCAGTAGGAAAAAATCAAACTGAAAATATGGGAAAAAGTGTTTTTTGTTTTTTTTCCTTTTTGCCCAGTGACATTCTAAACGTACTTGTGGGTGGTTGCAATTGCAATGAAAGGGCAATTTATTGATTTTGATGCACACATTGTACAATATGTTCTCCTGATGAAAAAGGCATGTTACAATAAGAGATAAGAAAGAAAATGTCAGATATATTTTCTGCAATGAATAACTTTTCTAGTAGTTTTTCCACCACATGCTTGGTGATGTAATTACCTTGCCTAAAAAGTAATTAAAAATATCTTACATTTATTCAGGTTACAGGTGTTTTTATAGCGCTCAGAATTTTCATTCAGCCTAATGTAAAAACAATTGAGGTTTTGTAGCTACCATATATAAGTTCTTGTTTAAACCTGTAGGTGGTAAATGGCAACTGTGTTTTTAATGCCACCATGTTTGCCGTACCACAGATCTGACCTGTGACTTAACTGTCACATACTTGTCTTCATGGAGACAAATAAGTTTGCTTATGCCATACTGTGTAACATTCCATTTGCAATAACATCACCATGGAGACAACCTTCTCATCCAAAAATATCACATGGTGCACCTATAATGATGTATTCAGTCAGTTTTGTAAAAAGGAGACTAATGGATTCTTGAATTATGATTTATTATAGTGTAGCCTTTTTTTTTTTTTTTTTTTAGCAAATCAATAGCCTATCGCCAGGGAACCTTGTGTGAAGGGTTTTTCATTAATTTTTGTACACTTATTCATGATAGGGTTTGAGCCTTTGCTTGCTATGGTGTTACAAACTTAGAGGACAGCAAGTGAATATGAAGTTCTTAAAGGTCTTAGGTTAGAACACACAAACCCAGTATTTATCATTTATTTGTTTAGGAAGTTTCAGTTCACTAATACTTCAACATGAAGATACTTAAATAGATATGGGTTAATGGGTGAGTGGCAATGTAAAGTGCATCTTCTCCCCAGTGGGTAATGACTGATGTAATGAAGAGCCTAGATGCTGATAGTGATGAAGAGGAAAATAAGAGGAGGCTGACATGGCTTGTTCTACTATTGTAGTGAAATCTGGAGGTGCAGGGGGTTGGTTAGAGGGTTAGAGGGGGTTACTCCGAGTAGCTGGAACAACATGAAGACTGTGGAGAGAGAGAGTATATTTATGTGGTCTTGAGAAGCACACGCACTATGTAGAAAATATTCTCTCTGGTTGATTTTACACATTCATCTTAATGAGACAGGAAGCCATAATAATATGCCTGGCATGTTGTACACTGCCAATCAACTACTCACTCATTCACTTTCTTTACTGTAGGTAAGTCATTTAATGCGCTTAAGTAGCATATAAAATTCTTTCAGAGTGAATAAAACATGAGTACCTGAAGTAAATCCACAGAGGTTCACACAGACCAGCCCATGCCAGCCACTCTTCACAGATTATGTGAAAAATCTGTCCCACAATTTCAAGGCTGATGATGTTGCAAGATGATTATAGAAGCCCAATTAAGCTATTATGTAACCTGGGGCTCCTTTATTGCTGAAGCCTTTTTAATCCAAAGGTTACCTTGAACTGCTAAATATCATCCCTTTTGTTGATCTTGGAGGTACTTTGCATGCAGTGTGGTCTATTCCTTTATCTCCCCAATGCTCATTGGTTCAGTAATGACTGTGAATGCAACAGTAATTCATTTACAAGCAAAACACCAGTATCTGTGCAGAAACTATAAATCAAATAAGGTGGTATGGTATTGGTGGTATTCTGATGCAACATGTGATAAAAATCAAATATGTCTGAATAATATTTACACTCATAGGTCTGTTTTGTGAACTATGTACCTGATTCAATGTAAAATGTGTGTTACAATTATTGTCATACCACAGAAATTGTAACCACAAAAGTTGCTTTGTAATTTGCCCAAGGTTGACAAAAACGATCATAATAAAGAGAAAATATTCAAACTGAAAATCCCAGTTGATAAACAAATTATCAGTACCAAGTTGCACATATTACCTTTTTCTAATCTGTTTTTTGGAGTTGTCTAAAAAGCAACTGGTTTAGTCTATAATTTAAGAACAGCTCTTTGAGATTCTATGCCAGGAGTTAACATCAACTGCGAGTCAGCTCTGAACAGAGATAGTGCTGTGTTTCCCTCTTTTTCAGTCTGTTGAAGGTCTCTTGCTTTCTCTCGCTTTCATTTCCTCTTTCGCCATCTGACTACTCTTTACCTCCATTCCTCGGTTTCTCTCTGGCCTTGAAAATGGTCCAGGAAAGGTTAAGCGGCACTGGGCTTCAGGCTCTGAGAACACTGGCGTCTTTCTACAGCAGATGAGCTCCTTTAACCCCGCTGCACAGGGCATATTAAAGAGAGCAGTGTGTTGGTGCACAGAGGAGGGTGAGGGTGGGGGAGGGAGGGGCTCTGTGTGTGTTTGTGGAGCTGAGGTAAAAGCTGGAGCTCTCCACATGCTACATTAGAGGTGTCAGGAGAGAAATGGTGTTCTTTTGTCGACCTCTGTGATCATAGCAGGACAGGAAGCCAAAGACTAGCAACTAATCAAGGCTCGGTATTTTTCTTTAAATATCGGATAACAACAAGATATGTAATCATTTGTAAGAAGGTTAACTGGTAATCTTTCAGTAGACTGACTGCTCATAGTCTTTAAAGAAATTGGATTATCTGTATTATTGTTGGACAGATCACTTTTTTTGTTGTTTATGTGCAAAAAATAAATATAAATCTTATTCAGAAACCATTATTATTATGTGACTGCCAAACTATTGAATATATTATTTGTATTTATTTTCTTGTATTTACATTATGGGTGCCATAAAGTGGTATTACATTTGATGTATAGATAGTTTTGTGTTTGAGTCAACAGAACAAATCCAATATTTTTTCATCCTGTCAGTTTCTAATACTCCCCCCTGTTTTCCCCCTCAGGTGTCATTCTTCCTCTTCATTGTGTTTGTGGTCTACACCATGCTGCCATTCTCAATGCGGGACGCCATCATCGCCAGTGTTGTGACCTCAGCCTCTCACACCGTCGTGTTGATTGTCTGCCTCTCGGCCAAAACCTCCAGCGTGGAGCCCATAGTGTGGCAGGTAAGGAGCCATCGATCCAACACTCACTATGTGGCCCTAGTAACAGGTGCTATATTTCCCATATGAAACAATGCATCACGCACAATCAAGAAAACAATATCCCCAAAGTTAGTAGTAAATAGTGGTGAGATGTAAAGGCATGATAAGGAGATGCCAAAGATGCTAAAAAAAAACTTCTTTCTCTCATGGAGTTCACTGTCTCCAATCAGTGTACTTTTTTGATGGTCCTGAACTAAAAATAGATAGTGAGCATTTTGTCAGGATCCAGCAGAAAATATCATCCACCTGCAAATAGTCTTTGAGGATGGAAAAACATAGAAGAAAAAAAGATTGGGAAAGCACAATTTAGAAAAAGGCACTTGAGGAGCTGTCCGTTGTGCTGAAATGTAATACAGTAGCAATGCTTTGTATTCAAGCAAGTATTCATCTTGTTAAGTAATTTGGATTTACATAAGACTTCTACTTTACTTTGCAGAGCGTATTAATCAGTGGGACCTTTTGCAGTCAAAGTTTTGTTTTAATATCTTGGCAAATTAAAATGCAATTGCTTTGCTTTTTAAGATGCCGTTGCCTTGTCTTGTTATTTGTCTCTTTCCAATTTTTCTACCATAGTGTTGTGTTGTTTTTTTGACCCAACAAACAAATGCGACCTTTGAAGTAAATGTAATTTAGCATAGCAGGTGAGCAATAGAAATTCTAATGTATTTTTTGTAAAGGTCACCATCTTTTTTCTGCTGTATTTTCCCATTTGAGAGCACAATATTCATGCAGTTGGCAAAAGACACATATCAGGAAGCAATTATCTGGAAAAAGAGTGCAATTAATTTGAGCTCTGTTAAACTTGATAGTGAATGTCATGATTGCCCTTGCCTAAAGATTGTTGTTTTTTGATTGCTAGTGATTGTGTGTGTTTACGGATATGCAAAGGAGATGCATTTTCTAACAAACTAATTCTGTACTACATGACTGTTTGTAATTGCAAAATCTACACTGAAGAGAGACAGATTGCGGCTCAATTGGCAGTCAAGAGGGCATGCAGTCTCCGAGATGTCTGTGCCAGTAGTGTGGAGTGGCCTCTAGTTAGGGGCCCATACATAGCAGTGTTGGCTGTATTGCCCTAATGTGAATACTATATACATTTTATCACGGTTTGTGCCTGTATAATTTGTCTGTTATCAGTTTACTTTAACAAAAGGTAAAAAATCATTTTCAGTCATTCGGAAACTTCATCTGACCCACTAAAATCTAGTACAGCATGTTCTTGAAAGTGCCGTTCTCAAGTTTAATTGAATCTGCTCTTCTTGGGCTGTGAAAGCTCTTTTAAGAAGTATAATATGATTTGCCCAATAAAAAGAAATAGCTTGTTAAATTGTCTGTCCTATTTTTCATTGCTCTGGTGACTTAGAATTTCCCCTTTAGTCTTTCAACCTATTTGTTTTTCCAAGCCAATTAAAACAATGCCCCATAGATCCCTGAAGGACAAACCAACTATAATATTCATTGAGTGTGTTACTTAAACCAATGTACATCTCGGCACTGATGAGTTAAGAGGATATGAGATGAGAAGGACACACAGTGACACATTCACATTGTCAAGTCCATTAAACTTTACACTGCAGCTTCACTTAATTCCTAATGAACTGGCTCATTTATTAAACAGAATAAAACAGCCAGACCTAGAGCAATTTGAGAGTGACATTCAGTTTGTATGGATCTCTTCTCTCTATCAGTCCTTTACTTAAACGTTTAGTTGGTGGTTTAGATGTGATAATGAACATTGGTCTAATAATGCTAGGTTTTGTAATCAGTGATTCATGTTATTATTCTAATCATCTTAAGTGTTTTTCTAATCACTAATCTAATCAGCCCCTAAGAGTAAAAGATGTATATAATGCTGCCATATACACCTCAGATTGGTTCACATACAGCATGAATTCAATTGTAATGATAATCTATAATCAATGTAAATCTTCACAACATTGTAACATTTAAATGGTTGATAATATCCTTTATTTAGCTGTTTGGGATGAATTATACATTTGGGGACCACACCACTGGATGCATATTATATTCCCCTTGAAATAAGATTTTCTCTTGTCTGCAAAATCTAAATCTGTGATACTTTTTTGCTTTTTATTCTACCTGGCACTTTCTATTGCTGGCAGTGTTACAGCTCTAACAGTATGTTAAACCATCAAAATGCGGCTCAGTTTTCAATTTGTGCTAATCCCAGGACCTCGCAGAATGGTGGTGAGCAGTGAGCTCTGTTCTTCTGGCCCTGCTCTTATCTGTAAATTGTTGGATCGTTGGAAGCGCGAGCTCACAGCAAAGTGAACTGACATAGATGATTTTTGAGGTGCCATTATCTTGTCAAACAGATCCTTTTATGGACATTCAGCCTGGGCCCAGTACATTAAAAATGTCTAATATAAGATTATGTTTAAAAATATTTTTGTGAACATTGTGATTATTCACAGCCTTCTTGTGCTTTTTTAAGTTATTCATTTATTCCCTTAAACCATAGATACTGGAAATTTGAGTTCACCATGAAATGCCAGAGTTTATAAAGTACTGGGCCTTCTCATTTGTTAGACATAAATCTGAGGGGGCGACATGATTCATGTAATGTTTGAATTTATTTGATACATTTGTATGTCTGCACATACTGATCTAGGCTTAAGGCCTTAATGCATCAGAGTTGTTTTATGGGAACTCTGTGTTCTGCTTAAGAGACGTTGGACAGATAATATTTTATTTCAGCAGATGTAGTGACTTAAGAATATTTGCCACAAATAAGAAGACATGTCATGTGCACAACCACAACAAGGAGTGCTGATGATGAGATAGCGTAAAAATGGTTAGACAATTGCACTAATAACTTCGGTTTATGCTTGAGTCAGGGACTTACGTTAGGGTCTGCAGAGGTCAGTATCAAATTATGTTTCAAAGTGAACAGTGGTGAATTGGTCATAAAGTGTGGCATTACTGATGGTCTGTTGAGGAATCATGTGTAGAAAGAAGCATTGCATTTTACTTTTTATACGATGTAGTATCAGACATTTGGCATTATGACCACCAATAATAGACCCTAGTGATAATGTTCTGCTTGATCAGTGTAAATTGCATGCATTTGGTTGATTAATGTCTGACCATTGTTCAAAAGGTCATCTCTTTCACTCCAGAACTGGTCATGTTAATCTCTTGTTCAAATTTACATCAGAGAAGAGTACGCATAGCCAACAGCCAATGCAATTATCAGGGCAGCTTTGTCCTGCAGAGAAAGACAGACAACTATAAAAAAAACAATTGTTTGGGGTTGGTAATCACTGAAAAACTGTAAATGTTTATGAATGAGTGTGAAAGTCAAGGAAATAATTACTTTTTCAATGAATATGAGATGCAATTGTCTGTTGAAAATATTAAGCCCAAGGTTATCTGGACTGCACTCTCTTTGTACATTCACTTGCTGTCTGTGAGCTGTGATCTGAATCCTATTATCGGGTTTAATTTAGTTTCATGTTGTGTTCATTTGCGACTGAAATGACAGAATATGATGCTCGTGGTTGCCATTGTGACAGTAGGTGACTTGGATCTAATTTTGCTCCACTGTTTGTCTTTGGGGCATTATAAAAGAACAGATACATAGAGGGATGAGTGGAAAAGGCCTTGGTCATGCTTATGACGCAGTTTCTCCTCCTATTCGGCCCTGTCCAGCCATGCGAACATACACATGGGACTAGATTTTGCTTCTAAGCTTGGCCATTTGCTAGGATTGAACCAAATTATTATTTCTGTGGTTGACTATTTGGCAGGGTTAGGGTTAGGATTAGTAAACTAGTCAGTTATTTCTATTGTATACTGAGATTTTTAAAAATACATGTAACCAGATAAACATATAACAATGCTAACTTAAGTCTATATTGATTAAATTGCTTATTCTTTTGTTTGTTCTAATGTTATGTAACAATTCCACTGTTGGGCTTTTTTGGCAAACATCTTTTGGCACATGTTTTTGAAGTGGTATAGTCCAGATAACGCTAAACAATTATTTAAATAGTCAGCAATTTTTTAATACTTGGATATACACGATCATTTAGATTAAATGTTGCATCCCTACCAGTTGTTTTAATAAAGTGATCCTTTCATACATACTACTACCTAATATCTTGTGCTCACCAGTCTGTGGGTATGGTGGGTTACAGTTAGTGTTTATATGATGTATTTTCAGCTTTCTTTCTTGCTAAAATAGACCAACACGGCAGGACAGTGTACTGCTTGTTTTTATTGAGCTTGTTCACATGTGCGCGCAGTGTGAATTCTCTCGTTAATAGTTCCATGGTCCTCTCTTTCCCTCTAGGTGCGCTGACCAAATTGGGCTGTACCAAAATAATAATAGGAACCAATATTAATTAGTAGTAAAATAATGAAATGTAATGTACCCAGACTTAATATAATAAATTGAATTGTTAATAAAATAGTAAGTGCAAAGTGAATCCCCCAAAATAATATACAAAATACTAATAATCCAAATAAATGTGAATATATAAAATAATATGTAGCAACTATATCTAAGGTTAAAATACCAAGCCATGATACTGATATAATGAGGAAAATGCTACTGTAAAATGCTACTGTGTGCTCGCCTGAAGTCTGGATAAATAATAAGTGCTGTGACATCTCACAAGAAAATGATTCAAATGAGATATTATGCAAATCAAAACCTTGAGGCAGATTACTTGTAGTTTTTTTGTAACCCTGCGAGGGGTAGAAACGTTTTTTAAGTCTTACTTTCTTTGATTTCTTGTCTGCATTTACCTTGGTTTTTGAGATGTGTTGGTGCCACATATTTGTAATGAAATATTCTGCTGTGTTTTTGCAGATTCTGGCCAACATTATCATCTTCCTGTGTGGCAATATGGCAGGAGCATACCACAAGCACCTGATGGAGCTTGCCCTTAGGCAGACATACCTGGACACATGCAACTGCATCAAAGCGCCCATTAAATTGGAGTTTGAAAAGCAACAGCAGGTAAGGTGGTGCAAATGACTGCTAAAAAGCCCACAGTACCATGGTAATGACAGCGATAACAATAAACAAGTCAATTATGTAAAGTGTTAAGGTACCTTATGGAAGTGGCTGAATACATTAGAAAAGAAGTCAGTACACAAGGCACGATTTCTGTGTTTGCAATTAATGTATTTCATTCATTAAATTCCTTATGCTATTTCTCTGAGGATTTAATGGCTTTCTTCTCATAAACCACACTGCCTATGCTTGACAATAGAAACAAACTACTTATCAAATGCCAGTTTTAATAATAGATTGGTTTGCTGTACATACTGTAAAGTGAAAGCTGTTGTCTCTAATGGGTTTAAAGCACAACATAGGAAAATATGATTTATTTATTTTTTTATTGTTGCTGTGGCAGTGATTAAAATATTGTTAATAGATTATTGTTTTGAGAGGTTGTCTTGTTGTCCAGTTCTGCAGAATTGATCCATACGACTTTTGAATTTGAATGCATATTAGGAGTAATTAAAACCCATAACAGATTACAATCACAATCATCATTAGTTAAGCCATATAATCATAATTTTATGTTGGATTGATGCTATCAGAACTTCAAATATAGTTTTAGTTTTTTTCCTTTAGACCTTATTTAATTAATTTGCAGATATCATTCCTCTAATAAAAAAACTACACCGTAACACAGTCCTGGTGTCTCTTAGCCACATATACACATGTAGCACATACACACATAACACAACTTTGTATTTACATGTATTTACTGATCCAGTGATCGATTTTATAGTCATTTTCTTTCTGTGGTTTTCAGAGGAGAAACATTCCACTGAGAGATTGTCTCAGGAGCCACATTTACTGCTTGTGGTAATTGTTAATTAACTGTGTGATGATTTATTGGACCTCTGCTGTCTTGTGCTACAATTCAATTCTCTAGTGTGGAGACGATGCTTGCATGGAATAACAGAAGGCTCCCAGGGTAGAACATGCAATATGGATTATGGGATGTTCTCACTGTGTCTGTTTATTTAAGGCTTGAGTGTTGTTATATTACACTGGCTGTACAGCTGCCTAAGATTACGTGATATGACCAAAATGAATAACAATTTTTTTTATATTGGTCAAAGATGAATTCATGTTCATTTAACACAAAAATTCAAGTCAAATTTATTCTTCTGAAGACAGCTCCAAACAACATACTTTTACTGACAGAGAACTTGATTAATTGTAAAGTCTTACAGTTGTTCATTAGTACGAGTACATCTGGTGCCTTTGTATTTCTGAGACAGCTCTTACTTTTGAGCTTATATTATCAGAGTGGTGCTGGACTGGTTATGGATATGTCTGCAGTTTTTTTGTAACAGAAGCTTTGAAAAATTGCCTCGAGTGTAGCGTTTTACAGCAGCGGTGTGGTGCTTTAAGTCATAATTGTACAGTCTCTGAATACTCCAGGGCATGTACCGCACTCATAACATATTCTGTTTGGTTTATGCTTTTACCCAGAGTGCCTTGCTGTACTGTATACGTTTAAATGTGTTGTTCAGAGCATTACTGATCATCAAGTGCACTTAACAAGTTGGGCTGATTCTAACATTGTGTAACATTGTTTTTAACCTTTTGTGTGATCTGCCAATCATAATGATGACTACATGCTATCAAATTATTTAAAAACAAATCATAGGCGATTTGTGACAGCGTTTTTTTTTATCAGTGGTGTGGCGAGTTATCATTTACTGTTGTTTATTTTCCAAAGGTAAATCTTTACATTCATATTATTTTACATGTTTTTGCTTTTATGTGTTTTATGTGCTTCTAAATGAATCAGTGGAAATGTATTCAACACCACTAGCAGATTTGTTGTTATCCTTCCTTTTAGTCCCATATGTGTGTTAGTCCCTACACTGCTGTACTGTCGTGTTTTTGCCAACAGGAGCGGCTGCTGCTGTCATTGCTGCCAGCTCATATCGCCCGAGTGATGAAAGCTGAGATCATCCAGAGACTCAAGGGTCCCAACTTTGGCCAGATGGAGAACACCAACAACTTTCACAACCTATATGTACAGAGGCACACCAACGTCAGGCATGTCCCGGGCCATTATGCCATTCTGTTAGTATGAGTATTGCTTATGGCCACTTCACATTATCCCCTTGTTTTTCTGCATGCAGTATTCTCTATGCAGATATAGTGGGATTCACACGGCTTGCCAGTGACTGCTCACCTGGAGAACTGGTGCACATGCTGAATGAGTTATTCGGCAAATTTGACCAAATCGCCAAGGTAAATCTTTTACTTATACATCTTTCTACGTACTGTAACCTTAATTTTATTACAATATTAAAATTGAGCTGATTTTATTTTTGTAAGTATAATAATTTGTTCATGTGGTTGTTTTTATTGTCTCATGGGGCACTTTAAGCTTTTGGCACATGTTTTTTTCCAATATGTTTTTTAACTTCAAATGGCTAACAAACTAACCTATCCTAATAAGGTTTATGGTGGGCCTTTGAAATGCATTTTAGATTTATATGTATATATGACATTAAAATGCAATACATTTTCTCTTTTTATTGATGTTTTATAATGATTGTACATTTTATAAATTTGAGAAATGATCTAGCATACAAATAAGGTTTTGTGCTGTGTCCATGATTGTATTATGGAAAATATAATTCTCATGACTATATATAGACGAAATAACAGTGCACCTGAATAACACTGGATCAGTTTGTGCCTGATTGAAATACAGTACAGTATATTTCAGTGAGACCTCTGGCTGGACCTTGGAGGTCTGAACACTTTTTTTCCCTCTTTACAGGAAAATGAATGTATGAGGATCAAAATTCTCGGAGACTGCTATTACTGTGTGTCGGGATTACCGGACTCTCTGCCAAACCATGCCAAAAACTGTGTCAAAATGGGCCTGGATATGTGTGAGGCCATCAAGTAAGAGCGATGACATAACAGGAGTGCTTAAAGAAATGCTTTGGATGGGCTGGCTTCAAAGGGTTTAATTAGTTAAGGCTTTCACAACTTCAGAACAAGCTTAGATGGAAGAAGAAGAAGTTAATGAAGCATTAATTAAAGGCTGTAATCATTTTTAAGTGGTGCCTGAATATCTGATGCAGGCTAAATAAATGTAATTACATGCATTGATAAAATCCGGCAGAGTAGACCCACTCTGCATACGTATTTTAACATCTCTCGCAAAAGAACGTCAAGATATTTGGAAGCTGCGCTTTTCTCTGTAGCACAGTTCCTAGCTGTAAATCATAAAATGACGAAGTAAGTGTATCCAGCACTGTTTTGTATGAGCAAAATATACATTAGACTAAATTTAAAGACATAAATAGGTATGTATATATGTCTTTTTGTCAGTTACAAACCTGGATAAATGCTAAAAGACTATGGCCAAAAAGGCGTTATCTTAAATCAAATGAATATTTTAAACACTTACTGACTAGAGATAGATGAAGTGTTACAAGTAGAAAACAAAAATCCATTCTAATTTTACTTTACATTTATTTCTCTAACAGGAAGGTTCGCGATGCCACTGGGGTTGACATAAACATGCGAGTTGGAGTGCACTCAGGGAATGTCTTGTGTGGAGTGATCGGACTGCAGAAGTGGCAGTATGATGTCTGGTCACATGATGTCACGCTGGCCAATCACATGGAGGCTGGAGGTGTGCCAGGGTCAGTTAGACACTTGTTTTATTTATTAATTATTTTATTTTATTCTACAATAAATAAATAAATAACTCAGTACATTAGTAATTACATAATAATAACATAATTGTGTGTGTGTTTTAAGGCGAGTTCATATAACATCAGTTACTCTGGAGCATTTAAATGGAGCCTATAAAGTGGAGGACGGCAATGGACAGGACAGGGACCCCTATCTCAAAGAGCATGGGGTCATCACATATCTAGTCATCAATCCAAAGGTATAGCTTTTCAAAAATTCTCCTTATTACAGTTATTACATTTAACACAGATCTAAACAGGTGTGTATTTTTAAGGTGGAGCGTAGAAGTCCCCAGCACCGACCCAGACTGAACGGAGCGAAGATGAGAGCCTCAGTGAGGATGACACGCTACTTAGAGTCCTGGGGAGCGGCCAAGCCCTTCGCCAACCTGCACCACAGAGACAGCATGACAAATGAGAACGGCCACATCACCACAGCGGTGGGAAGATTTTTGTGTACACTTTTATCTTCATTTCAGAACTATATATTGATTTTTCTTACTTGTCTTTATTTGTTCAGGGTGTGCCTATGGGACAGTATCACTTTCAGAGAAGATCAGAAAGGCAAGCTTCATGTTTTTTTTTTTTTATTATTAGATTTTTTTGTATATGTATGTATTTTTTACTGTACATAATAATAATATTTTTTGTTGGTGATTTTCAAACTAGGACAAAGTCGCAAAAGAAACGCTTTGAAGAAGAGCTTAATGAGAGAATTATAAGAACATTTGATGGTATAAATGCCCAAAAGTAAGAACAGTTCCAAAATAAATGCAAATGTTCTCTGTATTGAAATAGTCTTTTCATATTTATAATCTCCTCTTACAGACAATGGCTTAAGTCTGAGGATATACAAAGAATATCACTATTCTTTCACAACAAGACTTTGGAAAAAGAGGTATTAAGCATTAAACTGTGGTAATATGACCCTGAACTGTATTTAGTTACACCCTCAAATTCTACAGTGTGGGAAACTGTAGTAGACCTGAAAATGATGACTATAAAGATGGCAGTAAAGTGGCTTCTGAAGTATCTTGAAAATCTCTTTGTGAATTCTGCTGTAAAAATATTGACCTTTCTTGTTATTTTCCCCTAGTACCGAGCAACAACTCTGCCTGCTTTCAAATACTACGTGACTTGTGCCTGTTTGATCTTCTTTTGCATATTTGTTGTGCAGATTCTGGTCCTGCCAAAGTATGTCTTCTATTTATTGAGAAATATCTTGGTCCTTATTTTGTAATTATATTTACATATTTTTTGTAATTATATCTTGTATGTCTTTTTTAAGGACTGTGGTTTTAGGAATATCTTTTGGAATGGCTTTTCTGATCCTCTCTGTAATACTTTTTGTGTGTTTTATTGGACACTTTGTGGTAAGTACATCTCTGGCTGCAGGTTATTTAAGTATAAGCAGGGTCTCATCATTTGCTTACTGTGTTAGTGTTCTGGGAACTTCTACTTACTTGTTTTAAGGCCTGTTATTTTGGATATAGCCTTCATGCTGTGAGACCTCTAAGGTTTCATCCAGCGCTATGTCTTAAATGAAAGAGAATAGAACACCACAGATACTCTACCTTTAAAAGCATAGGTGAAGTCCTGGCATCAGACTTGGTCAAAGCTGTCAGCCCTTGTAACTTTGTGGATGTGGCGTTTGGGCTTCCAGACCAAACATGTTAGGTATAGCATCCTTATATAATCTTGGTCTAAGTGCATTGTACTTATTTGCAGGATTTTGAAAAAGTTACTTCAATTTCAAAAACTAATGTAAGTGGTGTGTTGTTGTAAATATTCCAATAAAAAGCCAACATTTTATGGATTTAAAATTGTATGGTTTTAAAATTTTGTCTATTAGCCCTGCAGCTAACTGTTCCCACAGTATCTGACACTTCCAGCTTGTGACACGTAACACAGCAGGATTAATTTATTTAAGAGTAATTTCATTTATTTATAATATCATTTTGACAGCTTTTCAGTAGTTTACTGTAACTCACTATGCTAGTCATATTTGCTGCTTCAGTTGTGCTCAGCGTTTGTCCATGACCTTTGTGCATCCTCCTCATGCTTTTCCTCTCCCTTTGCAGCAGTGCAGTAAAAGTGCGTCTACGTCTTGGCAGTGGCTGCTCCAGTCCTCCGTCATTATTGCCAACAAGCCATGGCCCCGTATCACCCTCACCATGACAACCACTACACTAATACTCATAATGGCCGTCTTCAACATGGTAAGCTTTTATGTGGACTGTACTTAGACACATTACTTAGACTCCTTATAGCCTTGACATTACCTTCACATTTCCCTTTCAGTATTAGTACTATTCTGATTCATTTAGTATAGAGACCAAAATCACTTCATGATTTGGAGGTCTGAAGAAGGTGTTCTGTAGCCTGTGGCTTTGGTAAGTTGTGATGGAGCTGGGTGTCAGGACCCTGGTTTAGACCTCCACACAAATCGATTTGAGAGATTATAATCTTGTTTTGTGGCTGACGTGGGTCAGATGCTCCTGGCGGAAGAACCAAATTAACTTGGTTGAGCTTGACAGGGCAGCCAATCGGCGTCTCAGCCTGGAGCTTCTCTTCAGGACATTATTGAACTGTTGTCAGTGTTGGCCTCTTATCTAACAAGATTCTATTTTCCTCTTGTGGGTGCAATGCAGGAGGCCTATTTGGTTTGATGCTGACGTTAGAGGTTTTTATTATACAACCTGTGCAAAAATCAGGTCTTTTAGAAAAATCTGTCAAGGTTAAAGGTGTTTTCCTGTTTAAAAATACACAAACCTGTGTAAAAACAAGAGCTACCTTTTGTGAAAAATGAGAACAAAGTTATGTCAAAGTTCAGGGCTAAATATTAATTTTATTTGCAATAAAACGAAAATGAACGTCAACACAAAGTCTGAGAAGGAGTTAAGATATATGTACTGTTTTTTATATCTAACTTTATATCATGTTTTTCTGACTAGTTTTTCTTGGAGGAAAATTCGATTTCTGTAATTCCTGCTTACAACTCATCCAATGAAACATACTTCTTGTTAAATGGGCCACACATCATATTGACGGACAAAAACAACTTTTATCTCCCAGTAAGTCCGGTTGAATGCATATTATAAGAAGTGCATATATTTTTAATAAACCCTCAAAATGAACATTCTGTCTTGCCAGTATTTGATTTACAGTTGCATTCTGGGCCTGATCTCCTGCTCCGTGTTTTTGAGAATAAACTACGAGCTGAAGATGGTGATAATGTTGACAGCAGTGGTGGTTTACAACATCATTATTCTGCACACTCACTCCTCTTTGTTGGATGAGTACAGCACATTTCTCTACAGGACCGAAATCTTGGACAGGTCAGCGCAAGTCAAAACTCTTTTAACTTTTAACTTTTCTGTATACAAAACATGAAGTGGAGGTTTCAGTAAAAAAAAAAATATATATTTTTTTCTTTTATGTCTGAGTATATGTTCCTCATCATGTGATAGTTGATGTCTTTGTCTGTGTTGCCTGGAGCACAGGAAATCAATTGCTTACTTACGACCAGCAGTGTAATGAGGCAATAATGAAAAATGCTTAGTGTGGAATCATGGTTGCCCCTAGATATGTGGATACATTGCTCTTGACAGTTAATAGTTTACTATTCAACTACCCACCATTTGGCTAGCGAAAACACAAGATTGTAACTTGGTATAGATAAATCTGTTTTATATGAACAGAATATGCTCCTTTTGTAGCTAAAAACTGTTATCACAAGCTTAAGCAAAGCTTCATAGACAGCTTTCATCTTTAGTTTCAGAGCACTCTTCTTTATTAAACTCAATGTTTTGCAGACCTAGAGTTTGGTCAGTGCCATTCATCTATTCATCAGGCAGACAGTTTCTGTAGAGAATTGATTAGATAATCAAGCTGCCATGTGTTGAATTGAATGTGTGTATTTTTACTTCATGTCATAGGAGCTCTTCTTGATATAAAGGGAATTAGGAAAACAGAAAAAAGACTAAGCAGCCTTTGATTTGATCTCATATTCAGATCTCATTATAAAACAGCAGGATAGTATCTTATAGTATATTATAATGTAGTGCTTTCATGATTTAATATAAAAATGAGATGACCTGATTATTAATTTTACCATTTATGAATGAGAGTGACATTCTTAGAACAAAGGTACAATTTACTATATGCACAAACAACTCCGCCCATTGTGGGGCAGTGAAGCTTGTTCGCTGTAAAGCAAATAATGAACAAGCTCTTGTCAATGCTAAGCAGAAGTGACAGCCATAATCAAGTGTCATCTTGGAAGAAAATGCTCTTCTAAACAACAATTTGACACATGTGGCTGACTGCTGATTGGAGTGTGAGGTTCTAATATAACAATTTCAATTCCCTATTCATCTATTTCAATTTTTTTTTTTTCTGAAGACCTGGATTGCTCAAAGACTTGAAGACTATGGGCTCTATCTCCCTCTTCATCTTCTTTGTCACTCTTCTGGTGCTCGCCAGGCAGGTACGTTTGACAGAGTGCAATCCTAGTGCCATGCCTTGTCAGTCTATTCATCTCTGCAGCTCTAAACGAGTTGTATTTTTCATCTTTGCTTTCACTACTTCCTTCAAATATGTGGAAAATAGGTTATATTCAGGCTTTTCACATGACATGCCTATTTCCTTTCTGTGCAATTTTCAATCATTCACATTGAATCCCCTAATGGTAAGAGCTATATACACATGAAGGTAAAATGTAGAGAAACCATTATGCCAATGTTATTTACACAAAACCCTATTCATTATTCAGGGCTATAGGATCTCAATCAGACATGCATATGCAATGCCCTTTTTATGCATCTAACACCCACCATGGCATTCTCAGTCCTAGTTTCAAGCACAGTTCACTGGAGAGGGTTGTGCCACTGTAAAATCTATGACAAGTCTACTAGTCTATTAAAATCCCTGTACATTAAAAAGATGATTAAAATTTAAAAAAAGATAACTAGAAACTTTTAAACACAGACTTGAACTGTACACTGCAAAGAACAGAATATCACAGAGAAATGTTAAAAATTGAAATTGACTTTGAATATAGGAAATATATTGAATGTAAGTAGTCTGAATAGGTTGCGTTGGCATTCTACAATTTTATGTCATAAATTCAGATGTAGAGGCCTATATAACTCAGTTGAACCTTATCAATATTTCTTTGGGATTGGCTCCACCAGTTTATTTTTATACATCATAATATATTATTAGATGAATTTTAAGTGTTTAAAAAAAAATGCAGATTTTGTAGATTTACCCTTTGGCCAGTGCAAAAATACCCTGCCGCTACTCAAAGCTGGGCATGTTGTAGATTTATTATCCAGGAGAAGCAAGGGCCTGGGTGAAGACTATTCTTTAGCGTGCTATTTTCAGGTTGTTACTCACTGCAGGGCACTTAGGCCAGATACAAAACACTCTTTTGCTCAGTGGGGACAGTTCTTAAACGTTTAAAACTGCAGTGGCTTGTAATGCACTGGCCTCAGGTTACTTTTAAGATATAAGGCTATTAAAATACAGTAAAATTAGCTTAATAATTCTGTGTCGCGTCAGTTTGAGACCCTAAATGAGAAGCTTAAATGATAATATCCCCTCAGCTTTGACTTAACAGACAATGCATACAGGTGTTGAGCCTAGTTTTTACTATCTGCATCTGTGTGTAACATGGCCAGATCAGTGCACTGAAACTCCAAAACAAAGCAGATGGAGAGATAATAAAACTGGTGAACAAAACACATAGGTAACTAACACATTTATAGCACAGTAAAATGGCATAAAACAGTCTAGACCAATAATTCTCATACCTCTTCATACTAAGTACTGCATAAGAACATTTTCTGTTCGAGAGGTGTACAGTATATGATAAGTGGTACCAACACTAAGAAACATTGGTAACAGGCAAAAATGTATTCTATCCAACCAGCCTTTCTGTATGCAAAGCAAATTTCCTCTGAATACATAATTAGTTTATGCTGACATTTGAACACTGATTCGTGCATTGTATGGAAATAGATATGTTGTTATCTGTTGCACTATATCTTCACTTGTTTAACTCTTCTTTTGACTTATATCCTAGTGGCTGTGTGTTTTTTGCTTTGTCTTCTTTGATGGAAGCAAGCTGTCCAGCTGTGCCTTCAGTCTCTTCACCTCTGTGTCCTCTTGTAACAGAATGAATATTACTGTAGGTTAGACTTTCTGTGGAAGAACAAGTTCAAGAAGGAGTGCGAAGAGATTGAAACCATGGAAAATCTTAACCGGGTTTTACTGGAGAACGTCCTGCCCGCTCATGTGGCGGAGCACTTTTTGGCACGAAACTGGAAAAATGAGGTAGGACTTTGTATTGTTAATATGTTTATTAATTAAGTAGGTGCATTGTATGTTAAGATCTTATTGCTTTGCTTGGAATATTCCACATTAAAGCATTAAACTTATTGCAGACTTTTACTGCTTAAAAATACCTTGAAAAACATAACATTCTTAATGCAAGTGGGATCACATTCCATTAGTTCTCTTCTTGGTCTGGTGGCATTACCTAGTTGTCTCCATTGAGATAGATTATTTTTAATGCCGTACGAAGAAACATTTAAGGCAAAACAATAACACCAAACCCTCCACCAAATAAGTTACATAGTGCATCTTTCTATTAAACATAAAATTGTGTCATAATTATAAAGTTTGTTTATAAAATATGCATTCCCTGTAGTTACACGCACATCACTAATTTTAACTCCTTCTTTATTAATTTTGATTTTGATAGGATCTATATCACCAATCATATGATCTGGTTTGTGTGATGTTTGCATCTATACCGGACTTTAAAGAGTTTTATACTGAGTCAGATGTCAACAAAGAAGGCTTGGAGTGCCTCAGGCTTCTCAATGAGATCATTGCTGATTTTGATGAGGTAAATTCTCCCAGTTTTGGCTGATAAAAAAATAAAAAAATTAAAAATTAAAATTGGCTTGAATTTTGGAAGCATTTCTAATCTTCGGTGGTGTGTTTGTGAACAGCTGCTGTCAAAACCTAAGTTCAGTGGAGTGGAAAAGATCAAGACTATTGGCAGTACTTACATGGCTGCTACAGGGCTCAACACAGCATCTGGGCCAGAGTACACTATGCAGGTGCCCTTGTTAAAACTCCACTTACTCTCATTTGTTATGTATACAGTAACTTCAAATTAATTCACTGATCAAGAAAATGTGTTTACTTTGCAGGAACATGACAGGCAGTACATGCACATTGGAACCATGGTGGAGTTTGCGTTTGCGTTGGTGGGCAAACTGGATCTTATAAATAAACATTCCTTCAATGACTTCAAGCTCAGAGTTGGTGAGTTTTGTTTTTTTTTAACCATGAAAGAAGATATTTTAGCTGTTTCATCATAAAAAACTCCATGTGAAACCACTTTAATTTTCATTTTAAACTTCTAATTGGAATGTATCAATATGCTTACGACATATTTTTATACCTGCTGATATCACTCAAGAAGACGAGGCTGTAACATTAGATTATATCATATTGGAATATCAAAGTCATGTACGTTGTTGAATATAGTAATTGTGATTGGTGAACATTTTCCAGTTGCCTCTATGAGTTAAGAGCCAAACCTCAACACTGAAGCTCTCTGTCGATCCCAGCATGCCTTACTCCATTAACTCAGCAGTTTGTCTGTATTGGCCAGTGCCTCCTGATGCTTCCAGAAGGACCTATAATGTTTCTTCAGGGAAAGGCAGGAGCCACCGCCCACTGGGACAGGACAAAACCAGTGGCTGTGTGCTCTGTCTACACTCTTATCTGAAGTGGAGATAACAGCAACACACTTGAATAAACCCTAGTGTACTGAACAGTATGTAGCCTTAGACACTGATGCTGCAGCCAGAGTGTAAGGGGCCACCATCCAATAAGAGAAGGGAAACAGCTCAACTGATTTAAATGTCTGCTGATTACAATACAATCCCTCTGCTTAAATAAATAGAATTATGATTGCAGAGGTTATGATGTTAAACTTATGACTTAACTTATGCATTTAGAAATATAACTACTATTTCATCGCTGTCAAGTAATTATTTATTGGGATTATGAAAATTTATTGACACAGTAAGCACATTATTGTTGTTTTACAAGTCTAATCAAGCCACAAAGAGCAACGTTTTAATTTGGTGTCCCAATCCTAAAACATCATTATTGGAGTGAATTCTGTTGTAGTTGTCAATTGTTTAACTGTTCATACTTGTCTTGTCAGGTATAAACCATGGACCAGTGATTGCAGGTGTCATTGGAGCCCAAAAACCCCAATATGACATTTGGGGGAATACAGTGAATGTAGCAAGCAGAATGGACAGCACAGGGGTCCTGGGAAAGATACAGGTAAAAAGAAAACACACTATGATTTGTAAAATGGGCACAAATATAATCTCTGCCTGCCATTCTTTTAATGTCAATCTTTCAAGCCAAATCTCACACACTATAGTTTGATAGCAGCTATACCTGATCTGTCCTATTTTTAAACTTCAATTTTAAATGTCAGCTCAGATGTTCAGAGATAAATCACATTTCATACATGTTATAAATGGTGACTGGGCTTGTGTTTGATGGCTGATAAGATAGAATGGTATGTTGCCTAAGAGACGTATAGGGCAGGAAGCTTCTGGTCTCTAAAGGTAATACACTTTTGATAGAGCCATCTGCTGCGCGGTCTGGAGCCACCGCAGAGCTTTCAATTGCATCCTTAGATTGCCTGTTGATATTTATATAGAGATGGACCAACTAAGGCATCAATAAGAAATGCACCACCATCTATTTCTTTTTGTTTGGCAAAAACAGAAATAGGATTGACAATATTCTCATGAATAAATAAACACTTTATTTGGTATTATGAGAAAAGATGTCATGGCATTTACATGTAGCACTGTGTACAACAATGATTGAATAACATTTTCTTTAACAAAAATATACTGTAGACACTCGAGTATTACAGAAAGGCATAGCAATGATAGCAGCATTATTCAGGAAATGAAAAGAAGCCATTTTTAGTACATAGCTGTGCTGTATCATATAATGCAATGTTTCTGTTGTCGTAGGTGACAGAGGAGACCAGTCGCATCCTCCAGGCTCTGGGATATATGTGCTCATGCAGAGGCATCATCAACGTCAAGGGTAAAGGAGATCTGAAGACCTACTTTGTTCACACAGAGATGACCCGCTCACTGTCCCAGGGCAACGTCATGCCCTAAGACTCTGGCAGAACACTGGCTGAGTTTACACTGGCACAACTGACAGACTATTTGTGACAGGAAATGTTTGTTCCTGTCAGAGCTATTAAGTTACAAAGTGAATCAGATCTGGGATACAAAAAGAATCAATAGGACTGGAGCCTAACGGGCACTGCTCCCCTGCTGTAGAATACATTTAACACTTCTGTAAGTGAACATGTAGCATGTGCCACAGCAGTAGGCCTCCTCAGAGCTCATCAAGTGTGGATTCAGCCCGAATAGTGGTTCATGGGTTTTGAGAATCTCTTGATGATTTACTTAAAATAAAATGTGACAAAAATAGAGTCCTAGCAACACAGACTGGAAACAAAAGGGAAGGTTGCACAAAAAGCTGATTGGAGTATGTTCAGATGAAAGTGTTTAAAAACAAGTTTAGAGAAGATCTACCTAACTACTCAAGCAGCATTTATGAATCTAGTATAATATTTATGCTGAACGCTTTTCTCCCAAGCTGTCTTGAACAAATTACTAGTAAAGACAAGTAAAGGCAAAATGGGAAAAGGCTAAACAATTTAAGAAGTCCAAGTCTGATCCACAGTGTGTACAGGGTAGCTTTAGTGTCTGTGTACATTGGTTTTGTAAGAAAAGAAAATACTAGCAAAAAGTGTTTTGATGTTTTGATGATGCCATTGTTTTGTAAAAATGTAATAAAATTTCTATGTATTTAAACCTCATTGTGTAATATTATGTTTGCACCTTTAGATTTATAGTATATAGTTTGAAAATGTGCGTTAGAAATGCATTATTTGACATCACAGAGCAGGGCCACGCCTCGTAGAATCCAGTACTCCGGAGGAAGTGTTGTTTTCAGATCAACATCTGCGATGTAGTTTAGGTCCGTCCTGATGGGCTTCTTGTAGATTGGACACATGTAAAGGTGGTGGTCTTTAACACCTAAAAGAAAAAAAAGGATCATACATTTTCACAGTTTTATTCAATTACACACATTATTTTTTTATTAATTGTAACAAAATGCCACTATAAAATGTTTTTTATTGCACCATTGCACAAATTTAATGTCAAGAAGGGCATTCATGTCAGTGTGCTTGAATATAGCATGCCACAAACCCCGCTGGTCTATTCTCCAAAAACAGCAGTATGTCTGACATTTAAATGTTACATCTCTGAATGACTGTGTGGGATGCAAACTTTGAGATGGCCAAAAGCACAGATTATTACTGATAAGGACAAACCACAATCCCTCACTCACCATTATTCTCAGCGTACATCCTAATAACAGGCATCATCTCAAAGAGGACTTTGGGTTTAGAGTCGATGAGTTTGCTGTTGCGGCGGTCCCATCCAGCTCCCTCCAAGTAAAGGCCATAGACATAAACCCCCTCGACTGGAGGCTGAGTGATGTCATCCTTCATCCACTTGGTCACCTCGTTGCACAACACCATGCGGTCCAGAGCCCAGCCTTTATTCGCACGAGTGATTTCCTAGAGTTTGCAGAGACCATAAATAAAACACTATAAAAGCTGAGAATAAAGAAAAATACATGCATTTTCTTGATTTTGTAAGTAGTCAGGTTCATGATGGCTCACAACTAAGATGGATGCTGTACTAATTTTACAGTTAAATGTATAACAACCAAAACAAAAACATTACAATACAAAAATAGCTCTACCATTCTACATTTTAAAGTAATTGGCTGGCTCAAGAAAGAACTTGGCTCTACTTACAGCCTTTAACAAAGACAGAGTGGTTTATTTATAGCTAATAGAACTTGTAATTTTGTGCTAGGTTTGAGTTTGATCACGCCCACATTTTAAAACTCTTAAATCTCAAACATTAAAAGAAGATACAAGACTCAAATTAGAAATCTCATAATTACATAAAGGATATTTTTGTGTATCCAGTCCATGCTTGATTTATTGCGAGGCAACAACACTTCAAAGCCTCTAAAATAGATGTCTTTTAACATAGGAAATATATGCATGTAGTTGCGTGTCTGTCTTGTGTGTTCATACTGTGCTGTGTGCCGTGTGTGTAAATGCATGTCACCGCAGTGTTCCTGCCTCTCCCCTGCGTGCCATCTGCTGTCCTCTGATGGGGAGTAGTTTGGCTATGGGGGGATGCCGTGCTCTACCTGTCTCATAGCTGTCAGGAAGCCCTGCGGGTTGAAGAAGCCTGTCATCCAGAAGCAGTTGGGGCGCCCTTCAAAGATCCAGGCCTGAAACTGCCGGTTCCGCTCAAGCAGCTCCGTGAACCAGAACCCCAGGGTACTGGAGGCCCATGATGCCTGTGCAGGACAGACAAACAAGCACACAGGACCACCATTAGAGCACAACATACAAACTGTCATCCGAAAAGATCTGAGGGAAGCCAACCAAGTGACAGAAAGGACTATAAATGTATAATTCAACAGCATAGAATAAAAACGATATACTGTACCAGAGTGAATTTGACATGCAGAGAAATGTAGGCAGCAGAGACATTGGCTTTTGTTTATATGCACACAAAAAAGGATCATTATCTGATTTCTGGAGTTATCAGATTGTTGAAATGTCATGTAAACAATTACATTTGATGTGAGTAATCTGATTTATTTCTGATTGATCACGCCTGTGCAGTTTTACAAAGTAAAGTATGCAAAAAAAAAAAGACAAACTAATGTGGAAAAGACTAAAATGAAAGAGAAAAGAGAAAGGATTGAAAATTATTTTATGGTACATGCCATAAAATGTTTAATGATCAGATTTCTATTGTACTACTCAGGTCAAATCTAATTATTGGGTTATCTGTTTTTTCTAGTTATCACATTTTTACCAGTCATGTAAATATACCCAATTATACTACAAGTCAAAAGTTTGGACACAGTCAAATTTTTTTCTTTTATGTTATGTACTACTTTCTGCATTTTACATACATATGGAAGACATTAAATATGTAATGTATGTGTCCTAATTTGTGTCTGGTAGTATACTGTACATTTTTAGTAATAGGTGATTTAATGAACAGAATGAACAAACACACAATAGAGACAAATATAAAGAAAAACTGCAACAATCTATAACATACTTTCTTCCAGCGAGCAGGAATGCGGGCATCATACATGCAGTCCAGAGCATCCCGTAGGTTCTCACTCATGATAATGGTCCCATCTATGGCCAGTTTGAGGTCTGTGAGGGTGTTTCGGACCAGAACAATGACCCTCTGCATGCGGTCGATCTCCTGCCGTAGGAAGATGTTCATGGGCTGGAACGGGCCCATCTTCTGAAGACGATCCCTTACCTAGTGTATTGGTGAAAATAATTGATTGCCTTAATGTTTGATTAAGTCTGGAATTAATTAAAGCAAAGCAATGTCCTCTCCATTAGCATAAATTAAATCTTTTTTTTTTCTTTTTACAGTAGTTCTAAAAAGTAGTAAAATAATTCAAAGTTACAGAGATTTTAAAGCACAAGATTAATATGGCACATGTGTGAAGTCATTAACAGCAACTTGCAAGTTTCAAGATTTGTGGCTTTTCTGTGTGTTTCAAAACCAGTAAATAGGGTCTGAAATGTTGACAAGCATCTAGCACAGCTTTAGATGATTTATTGTTAGCTGGAGTTGAAAGAGTGAAATATCACCTGGAAAGAAAAATGACAGCTGTCCTATGAGATTGAGTAGAAACCCAGGCTAGCATAAAAACACATTTTGAAGTCTGGCCCCTTCCCACATCCATGAACCACTTTGTTTGCCACTTGCACCACTTTGCGCACATGTACAGTGAAGGACATTGCACTTCGCTATCACCAACGCTCCCCTCAGGCAGCTCACACATCTGTCTACACACACAAACCTCAAATGGCACGTAGTCAGGGGGCAGTTTCTCCAGCATGTCGTCAGCCAGTCTGGACACGACTGCCTCTCTGGTCTCTCCCCCACCGGAGGAGCTGTCTTTGGGCTGGATACTGAGAATAGTGTCCAGGACATCCTTAGCGAGTTTGCTCTGGTAGGTGATGTCAGCATTGGGGTGTAATCCAAATACCTCTGGGGTATCATAAGACGGTAATCCCTGTGGAGGATGGATTGAATTACAACTTGGAAAATAACAAATTAGAGGTGGAAAGACATAAGGTGCATTGTACTATAATTCCAAAACTTTCCAATCTGGAGTTGCCTTGTTAATTGACTCCAGATGCCCCCCATAAAATCCTTTTCACAAATGAAGGCTTGAGACTGGCATACAGGCAGGTGAACATTAGTGAATAAGGGTTTTAATTGATTATTTCCTTGTGTTTGGGTATTTTTTAGGTTTTTATGAGCAATAACCTATTTATCCTATTTTTGCTATATGAACTAATTGGGCTGTGCAGTCATCCAATCTAATAATTTCTAATTTTCCATTTTCCCATTGTTGGATAATTTTTCTTTAGAATCAAATTGAAAACTGAGACTGATCACTACAAATCTTATTTAATATTTACATATTTTGGCACTACCTGAATGCAGAATCCATTCATAAAATATATATATATATATATATATATATATATATATATATATATATATATATATATATTGTGTGCATTTGCCTCATGTTGATATGTCTTTGATGTGTGTATGTTCTATGTTTCTGTGACAGTATTGGTGGACAATAGACCCATATAAAAGGAAAAGAAGAAGTCTGATGCGTATTTATCTATACAGGACTATGTATTCTAACAACACACAAAGTAATGTCGTACATCTATATAAAAGAGTAGATGTGGTCCAAGGCTGTTTGTCAGTCTGTATTTGAGAGACAGTGCAGGAGAGCCTGGCAGCACAGAGCATCCATCATAATGAATCTAGCTTTAATGAAACTGGTTCGGGAACTGCCTCTAAATACACACACAAACCCACCAGTGTGACATTGAAAAAGTGATACATCAAATATAATTAAGATCAAATAACCTTGTACATAATACATTTCTAAGTGGCAGTTTACAATATAAGAGTATCAGCATTTACAGACCACTTCTTCAAATGTGCTCATCTAATGGTACTTAATGGTGCATTGTACAGAAAATGAAAAGCTTAAGATAGGTTTCTATACACCAAGAGGGTGATTTAATCATAATAATTCTTGGATGTAGTTATGATTTTTTTCCATAAAGAACTGACCTGGATGTAGGTAAGATACTGTTCTACATTGGTGCATTTAGGGATACTGTAGCCCTGGTAGAAGTTGAAGCTCGGTCCAAACATTTCCTCACTGAACCACACTTTGGCAAAGGTATTGAGAAGACGTTTGTCATAGTCGTCAGTCACGCGGCCGCCATACTGAATCTCTCCAATCATGTAGCGGACTGTGTTCCAGGACACACCCTGTTAAGGAAAGAAGAAAGCCATTAATTTTAGTAAGATTTTGTTGTTTTTGTTGTTACGATAGGTCAAAAATTGGGTGGACTAAGTGACTTGTTTTGGTTTGGAATAAAAAAAGTTTTAGGAGGTTCTGTAACAATTTGGAACATGACTCTAAAATATTAAATCATTCACTTAAAGGACAATTTTCTGGTAGATGTTGGTTAAAGTTCATGTCTAGGCACTAAAGGGTTATTTTCTGATAATAGCGGTGTAGTCTAGCAGAGCTCTCTATCCAGACCTTTTGCACAGCATTGATCAATTGAATTAACATAACAAAATGTGACCTTTTTGATGTCCATGTCATCAAGGTGGTTCTGGACAAACTGAATTGTAGCATTAAGATCAGCCTGGTTGAATTCATATGGGATATTCCACCCCAGTGGCCCATACTTCCTCCTCTCTTGAACAGTGCTGTGAAGAAATGCCACCCCATAAAGCATTGGTTTCCATTGTGCCATATTGCTGACATCCAGAAGGTCCTGGTTAATACCTGGAGACAGACAGAAAAGTTGGCATAAAATTTTAATTTTAACACAATGTGTTTCTTAAATTAGTTTGGAAGTCTGACAGCATCAATATTAACATCATAAGAAAGTCACCAACCAGTAGCTTATAAAGGTTGAACTTTCTATTGTTTATAGAGATGGCAAAGTAATTTGCTTAGTGAATCTGTCTTATTAAATCTTTTGCACTCTTAATATTGCAAGTCTGCAGTTTTCTTTGGGAAACTCTTTCTGACTGGCACTGACTCAAAATCACTAATGGAATTTTGGAATATTGCCATAGGAGAGTTGAGCACTCTCATTCAAAATGTAACAAAACAAGTCTTTTACAACATTTCAGCAGATTTTTTTATTTGCTATAATTACACACAATAAACAACAGATGTTTGTACCTCCATAGGTCCTCTTAAGACCCGCCTTCAGCCCTTGTGGTGGTTCATTGGTAAACTTGATTGACATTTGAAGAAGGGTGATAGGGAAATGTTTGTGAACTTCGGTTGTAATCCAGAGCCGGAAACTGTCGTGGACAAACTCTGTCTCAGTCACTATATCCATCAGCTCATCCATGAAGTCCAGTCCCAAGTGGCAATTTTGGAGCAACGCCCAGCCTCCCTGAAAAACAGCAATGCCATTACTTTAGTCATGTTTATTTAATTTGATCTAACTTTGTATAGATGCCATGTCCTCCCATTGCTAATGTGGATTCTCTGACTTGTCCCCATCTTAGGACTAGATGAACTGATGTAGCAAATTTTTTCTAAGGACATGATTAGGTTATTACACCACAAAGTTAGCTACATCCCTATTATCAAAGTAGCTTGTATTACCTTATAACCATTGTGAATAGCCACTAATTATTAAATACTAATGTTGATGTACACTATAAACACAGTTATGAGTTAATATTTAAAATAATGAAACTGTAAAATGCATACAAATATATAAACTTAAGCTCACATTAGCCATGGTCTGCTGCAGAAGTTTGCGAGCATGCACTTCTTGTCCTTGCCCCATGGACACATATCGCGTTTCGATTTTCAGTCTCTTCCCCAATGCAATGATGGAGTCTGTTGGATCTGAGCCCATGGATAGGAAACAGATCAGAGGTGTTCGGGGGTCTGCTTCTTCCCAAGTCTTCTCCAGATCCAGGATTACGCCTTCTGTGTACTTTTCCCCCATCGAATCCATTATGTATTTACGAGCCTGGGAGGGACAGGCACATGGCAAATGTAGTCAAGCACAAATGTTTGTTTACTACTTCAAGATGCAAAATACTGCAGGGAAACACTCAGACAGCATCATAAACTAACTTAAAACAAAATATTCAATTGCAGTTTTCGTTTCTGTCTGGGAAGAGGCATGAACAGTTTAAAGGATGTTTTTAACTGGCCTGCAGCTGAAAGAGGTCAGACCAGGACTGAGGCAGGGCTGATTGTACAACAAAATAAATTAAACCCAAAGCCCATCCACAGTGGACCTTAAACTAAACAGGCTATGTCCATTAGTCATTGTACATTTTCAGCCAGAGCGAGTCATATTTTAGTTCAGCTCTCTTAGAAGTGTGTGCCAAATTTAGCATTTTCTAAAACAGTACTTTTAGGATAATTGTTCACTTAGGATCTGAAAGCTGTGTGGTTTTGTGCCTGTAGTCACTCAATATTATGTATTTTCTATATGATTTGTAACAGACCAGTCTTTACCTGTGCAATTGTTCTGTCTGGACACCAGCAACGAATGAGGAGCAGACGCCTGAAACAGTCCAGCGCCTGGTCATAAGAGTTGGGGAGTACTTCCTCTTCTGGAGCTTCTTTGTCAAACCAGGTTTTCCACTGTTTCTCATTACGAGTTATCTGAAAGACCATGCCATGCATAAAATTATTAATTGTACTATATTGTAATGAAACAGAAGCTTGTTTATTGCTTGTATTTAATAAAAGAACCAACAACAATGTGTATTTTTGTGTTGCTTGGTGGTGCAAGGCTGTTGTCCCAAGGAAGGCTATATTTTGCCCTATAACTGCTGAATGACTTGGTGATCAAAAATGTAGCAAACACATTAAGGTTAAAGTTAAGGGTTAAGCTGAACTTTAAGTAAACATGAACACGTAACACTTTATTGTTAAGTGTGTGGTTGGTGTGTATCAATATGACATAAATGATTGGAGTTTGCCCAAACAGAGCTCATTTCACAGGGCACTGAGCCTTCTCCTCTATAGGAGACACTGAGCTGTCAGTCACAGAGGTGTGTGTATTAGAGCAAGAGCGACAGTACATCTCATGTGTGTAAAAAGTGAGACAAGAACACCATGATGGGAAGATATTGGCATAGCTACCAGGGCAAGACGGGATGAAAAAAAATTCAATAAGCACCTAGGGACTACGAGAGAATCTAGATGTGCATGTGTCAGTGAGGTAGAAACTGGAAACTGATGAGCACTGCTATCTCAAGCACCATTAGTCAAATCTGTCTTAGCCAAGAAGAGACCTGTAAGGACATGTCAGTGATAAAGTATTGTGTATGTGGGCAGGCATTTATTACAATGTGGTGATCTAAATCTGTACACACACTCACTATATCGGGGCCTTCTTCCCATACGGGAACAAAAATCAGGTCCCCATGTTGTAAAATTTTCATTACTAGATCAAAGACAAGGTTTAAAGTTCAGATATAGGTTATTGTTTGTACCTGATCAAGAATTTCTGAAAACTGCCATAGTTTGCTCAGCTCCACAAGGTTGAGCCAAGTCATATCCAGGATCCATTTTGCAGGTTTCTGGGTACAGGCCTTGAGGTCCAGAGATGCACCTCCTTGTGGTGGTCAGAAAGAAAGATTTAATGGGATTTCATATTTTAATTCCTATAACTCCCTTTTGGATAACATTGCAGCTGACAGTATTCTAGTTGTAGTTGTGTAAATGTTAGTGAAATACAATTGTAGTACAATTGTACTACATACTCAACAGAAAATGTGGTACTAAAAATTAATTAAATTATCTTAAATTTTTTACCTTTTATGAGAGTCAGAAATTCTTCATGTTTGACCCTGCTACTCTGCATGTCGATTTTCAGGGCTAAAAGCAAAGTGAAGAGAAACTTGTGCTCCTCATAAAGGCCCCGTGCTGCATATTTATAAACCTCAAAGGTCATAAACTCAATGATGTTGGCAATTCGTTTGCTCGTTATTGGACTTTTGAAGGACCTGTTTCAGACAATGTAACAGTTATTACATTTAAATTATGATTTTATATATTCACATCACATTACACTTAGCTATATGTAGATGGAAAAAATCTCACCTCGCCAGAGAGAGGTCAAAAAGCCCCAGGAACTGCCTTAGAGATGTTTGATACATGACATTAACCATACTCATCTCTGTAATAAGGAAGTACAGGATACTGCCTCGGGTTGCCACTAAATAAAAAAAAGGCTATGGTTGATAGATGTTTCTATAATAATACATTTGTGTTATTTGTTTATAAAAACAAATTTTGTTTTTGTTTATTTTATTTATTAAATTCATCATCTTTCAGACCCACTGACTGAGATTTCCATTACAGTGTTCAAAAATAATCCTTTGTTATGACAACAGAAACAGTATATTCCACCTGGTCTGTACTCTTCTCTGGCAGCGTTTATCTGGACTTCAGTCTCAGCAGCAATCTGTAGCTTTTGAGTGACCTCTTCAGCCGTGCGCTTCGTGTTGCCCAGGACAGCAATCAGGCTCTCGTCGTCCACTAGTGATCCCTGTACACAGTTGTATCACAACATCAAACATGCTATTTATTGTACATACAGTAAAATGACATCATTTACCTGTGTGCTGGTCAGTCTGTAGAGAAGGTTGTCCTCTAGTTCTTTCATTTTTCTTTTGTTTGAAGTGACGTCTTCCAAGAGGTCTGTCCTCTCCTTCTCTAGTTCCTGTGAAAATCAGTTAAAAGTCAATGTCTCTTGGACAGAAACAATGTCACATGTGCTAAATCAGTCTATCATATGTATACTGATTCTTTTGTATATTACATTTAAATGTAATGTTTGCAGATTAGATGAATTATCAGCCCATTGTGCATTGTTTAATTTAATATCTGAACATGTGTTGGAATGTCAATAACAAGCTCAGGTGAAAACTGCCACTTTGAGTGTTTTATGACTGTAATGTCTGCTGATTAGTTATTTGTTTTTGTCATATGCCCTGGAATGTCTAAGGCAAATTTCTCCCAAGAGTGACCATTAAATATAATATAATATAAATTATGCTCATTATCTGGCCTTTACTGTAGCACAATCGTATCAGCAGAGTCTAACAGTGACTAATGACTAACAAGAATGACTCAGGTTCTTGAACTTGAACCATGCCTACTGCTCTTACTATATTTGTTTCATGTGTGCGTGTAAACTATTTATAGAAGTGTGGTTGTTCTTTCTCTTCCTCCTCTGGCTGAGAGTGATAATGATTGCCATGTACTTTATTCAAAGGGTGATAATAACCTCAGTTATATTTTGACACACTTTGGGCTTGAGAGAGAGGACTACGCACATAGCAGTGCAAGGTGTTGAAAGCTTGCATCAAAATGGTCTCAATGGGCCTTTCAGCAAAAACAGGGTTTAATAATTTGTAGCTAATCAGAGCTAGAGCCATTATTGAAACAAGCACAAATGAGCCAGGGTGACAGAGAATATAAAAGTAAATATTCTTTCTTTCAGCAGAGAGCCACTCCACCTGCTTTTCTGTGAGGATGACCCTGCCTAGTAACTGGTCCTCCAGTCCTCTCATGGTGACAGTAAAGTCGATGATAGAAGAGCGTGCGCTGATCTCTGGGGTGTACGCTGGGTTTGGCAGTTTGGTGGTCATGTAAAGACGGAATCCTTTCATCACATCCACCTCTTTGTCACCCACTTTCACCTGCACAATGGAAACAAAAGAAGAAATGTACCTTACACTTACACTAAATACCAAATAATTTTTCTGTCTTATACAAATTTTAAACGTGTAACAAAAAGTGCACACCACAGACTCAAGAAGATTTTAAATTTTCAATCACAAAGACTGCTGTGGGATATGGCTGCGTATCACAGGCTACACAGTTGTGAGCGCACCTCATGTCAGCTATTTCCTGTCTACAGTAAAATGACCCGATTTGAGACTCTTGAATATTCAAAAGATCAGAGCACTGCACTTCTAGTGTGGATGCAAGTCAAAACTGTGTTATTATTAGTTGTGAAATGTTGTGCAAACTTCAAATACATGACTTTTAAAGCATAAATCGTTAATCTGCAGCTTCATCCCAATCCATGCGCTGTGTGGATGTAAAAAGATACACGTGAGAAACTACTCTTACCTTTTTACTTTTAAAGAATGCTTCAAACAGGATTCACAGCTCTATTTTATGGACTGGGTGTCATTATTTGCAAAGGACAAATTCTATAGATAATGTGTATGAGATGCTGCAGTTTAAATGTACTACTTTAAGAGAGGTGAGTATAAATGATTTTCGCTATTTTCTGAGTTTGCATGTTGCGCCTCTGTGTCCATCACTCCTCTGCCCCGACACTCTGGTTTATTTGCTGTTACCACAGCATTGCTGAGGTTTGGTGGTAATAAACTGACCGAGCAGCTTAGAGTCACCACACCACACACATGAGAAGCACAGCGGCTTCAAAATTGCACACGAAGACACAAAGTCGGGTCATGCTTCCCCGAACTCGGGAAGACACAAATCGCAACATAAATCGGGCAAATTTTCCTGTAGTGTGTGGCAATCTTAACCCACACACAAAATGGATTATATTTTCAAATAGGAAAGTATTTTATTTTCTGTAATAGCTTTATTTCTCATGGTACTCATTTCTATTTATGCCTCAGTCAGCTGCATAGACTTTTCTTCTCCTCACAGTGGGATATAAATAGAAAAAGGAGTGACATAAGGGACACCTCTGATCTGGTTTCTCAGTCAGCAGCTGAAGAATTCTTTTTGAACACTTGACTTGATGCAACTGGGCTTACCTACTGCGACAAGTGTGTATCTCTGTACAAGCACAATATGTTCTATGCATAAATCATGTATATGTCGTCTTGATCAAATGGAACATGGTGCGTCATAAGAATCATAATTTGAGAGACACAGACACAAAATTGTATATATATAAACCACATTTTTTGTTGCAGAAATGAATTATTTTTAATGCATCTTTTAAATACAATAAAAATATGTTTATTAGTATATGGTAGTGTAGAAAACCTTGTATGTAGATCCAGTCTTGATGAAATTCTTCTCCAGTATATTGTCCAGGGCAGGGTCCAGTTCTTCTTCAACATCTTCAATTAACAGGGGACGACCAAGAGACAAACTGTCCTCCAGGTGGTTCTTGAAGTATTTATGGTTTAGTGAAGTGACCTAGAAGGGAGAACCATGATAATACAGCACAATTATCCAAACAAAATTAAATGTCTTTGGTCGTCTGAATATTCAGCTGTTTTGTATTAATAAAGCTAACATTTTAACAAGCAACTAACAACTGAAAAATTGTTATAGAGTTTAGTTACAGTTCTTATACAAAATATATATATAATTTGCCCCTTACATTCAGACAAACTTGCTTTGAATGTTAAAGGTCCTATATTACATAAAATTTACTCATCAAATTACCTCATCAAAAACATAGAGTTGGGTTTTGTTTTATTCTGACATGTTTGAGTTATACTAATATTTATTTGTCTACATCTCCTAACAGCCACCTTTTGCCTTTTGTTTAGTAGAAACTGGCAATTCCAGGGTGGCTGAAATCATCCAAATAATTCTAGTGAAGGTATACGAACTTTAAGAACACAGTGGAGCACTTCCTGTATTACCACTTGCCTCAAAGATGGAACAGAGTGTTTTATGTGTGTATGAAACAAAACACAGCTCCAGGTATGTTTGTGATGAGGAAACAACATTTTAACATAGTTCAGCAAATAGCATAATATGGGTCCTTTAATTAAAACTCCTACTCAATAAGTATTACAGACAAATAATATCAGGGGTACACAAAAATAGAAACATCGTTGGGGATTTGTCAGTTGTGTGATTTCTGATCATGACTACTGCTACAATGGGCTACAACAACATAACACAAAAACACAAATTGTATAAAAAGAACTGCAAGGGATTGGTGAATGGCTGTATTGTGCCAAGTGACCTCAGCTGTCAGTCTTCTACATTGTGCTAGTTTTATTTTTGTTATGAATGCAGAAGCAAACACTTCAAATGCCCAGAAATAAAAGAATGAAGGTTCTTTCCACAATATGAAAATTAAATAATCATAATAACATTTTAAAGCTTGTCTATGTTCAGTTATTCAAGGCTCTTCATTCATACCAACATAATATAAAAGCTAAAGGTCCTAAATTGACTCTTGTGAGCTTTAAGCCATGTTGTACTGTTGTTACCTCCTCAAAAACATACCTGGAGTTGTGTTTTGTTTCATTCACACGCGTTTGAGTAACCCTTTATTATTAGTCTAGTAGTACTACATCTCGAAAGCTCTAAATGCTCTGTGATGTCATGTAGTGGTAGTTTTCAAGTTATCTAGCTCCTATTACCTTTAGTAAAAGAGCAAAAGGTAAAAAGGGCTAGATACAAGTTTTACCAATTTGAAACTGTCCAAATGATTCTAGAGAAGGTGTATGAAGATTAAAAACACAGTGGCATATTTCCTGTATTACCACATGGCATCACAAGGTGGACCAAGGAGGAGTGTTTTCTGTTTGAGAGAAAGACTCACCGTAAATATGCTGGGTGCGTGCGTTAAATATGTGTACATTAAACCAAGCACAACTCCAGGTATGTTTGTGATGAGGAAACAATATTATAACAGAGATCAGAAAATAGTGTAATATGGACCCTTTAACATGACATACCAAAAACTTTGTAATAAAAACAAACCTGCAACTCATTCCTGGCCTCCTTGTTCTTGATCCAGATCTTTCCTTGTGCTTGAGGGTCAATTAGAAGCGGGAAACGGGCAGCTTTGGTAACAATAATGCCGTTCTGAATGGACAGGTCATCATTGGGGAGCCCCTGTCAGAGGAAGACAAATTGTAGTAAGGTTCTCCAGCCTATTCTATTAACCTTATCAGAAAAAATGACAAGAAGAATAAGTATTGATTCTTATCTTAGGAAGAAGGTTAAAGACATGGCTAAAGTTTCAATTTGAATATAGAAAAGTGTGTATGAGAATATTTTAAAGAAACAAAATCTACCTGTAAATTCCACTCGCTGACAGTAGGGGCATCAATGAGCAGTTCTGTCAGGTTGAGATTATTTCCAAATGGGATATGACGCTGTTTCAACTCCCGTTTCCAGTCGTACATTAAAAGATATCTAAACTCTTGATTAAAGGGGCCTGAATAGGAGAGGAATGCTGTGGCCAGAAGGACATCACCTAATGGGGATTTTGGAGTTATTTTTAGGTTGTTTACACAGTTTTCGCACACCATTGTTTGCTTGTAAGACCTACCGACAAGGCGCTTTGTTTGAGCTGCAAACTCTTTACTTTGCTCTGTCCATCTTTCCTTCTCACCGGCCAAGCCACTTATCAGGCTGGAGGCTGTCTGCATCTTGTGTCGACAGCGCTCAGCATCCTCCAGTAAAGCCTGAAAAATGAAGAAGAGGTCAAGGGAGACTAGCTATTTTCCACTTTCACAATCACCTTTTTCTATAATCTTATATCACTATTTTGTAAGTGTGTGTGCTTTTACAAGACTGATGGATTCAACACAGTGAAAAGCACATATCAGGTCTAAATATAGCCTTGTTTATGCTATAGTCAAGGACTGTTGATAAAAATAAGTAGTTTAGCTATAATCTGCTGCGAAACATATTTTTTTATTAGGTTAATGTCTATACATACCTTCAAATAAAGATTAAACTAAACCTAAACTTTAAAAAAAACCTAAGTGGGAAAGGGCAAAAAGCTTCATGGATATGTATGTGGGTATATAAATTGCCCTTATAAATGATTGTGAGGTATGCTTTGCATTAGTTCTGCATGTAACAGTTCACTGTCTGTGGTGTATGTTGTATAAGCTCCACCATTAATACAAAACAGGTGGTAAACATGTGTGCATCCTAATGGTACAGTAGGAAAAATTAAAAATGAATGAATCTAACATTAAAGTCATTCAATATTCATATTATTTTACATTTAGCGTCAGTACATAAATTGTTAAAGGTTGAGGTTATTCTCAGGATGAATTTGCAACAATCTAACACAACATGCACAATGTTGTGATATATCTGGGGTGAGTGTTTTGTGTGTATTCTTTCTAAAAAAAACAAAAACAAAAAAAAAAACTGTTGTATTGCTGTATTAGATCTAAGATTGTCACACTGTGATTTGAATAATGCTGTTGCTTAACTTGCAATGACAATAGCAGCTTTTTCTGTACCTGTTTTTCCATCATTGCTTTTTCATACTCTCCCTGTACCACATCCAGCTCTGCCTGTTTAGCATCTAGCTCAGCCTGAGCCTTCTGCAGGTCCACATTAGCTATGGTAAGACGATTCTGCTGCACAGCCAGGTTAGCCTGTAGACAAAATGGTGGAGGTGAATGACATATTGAGAATAAAAAGGGAAATATAACATAGCACAAATGTGTTATATAATGTGTTATATAAGTATAATACAGATCAAGACACAGAATGTTCAACTTTACAGCTTATACAATGAAAAGCAAAACTTGGTTGTGTAAACAAATGGCAAAAATATGGCTAAAAGAAAAAAAAAATGGGCATAGTTTATAAATGTTATGTTTATATGCATTGTTTGGATTGGAAGGTGAACTAACTACCCATTTAAATAGAGTATTAGAGAGGAAAACGTCCAGCTTTCTTGTGCCCCTGCATAAACTACAGCCACCAGAGGACCCATTTAGCAGCAGGTGATAGCAGCTGAGGCAGACAGATGAGAAAATGAGGGAAGTAACAAGAGAGAATGAAAATTAGGTAATAACAATAATAAGAGAGAAACACAAGGGAAAGGTCATCACCAGTCAAAGTCACGGTGAACTCAATTCACAAAAGCAATTGCATTCAGTCGGCTCTGTATTATGCAAGCATTAAATGACTGTCATGCATTAGGTTCCCACAGGCTGCACTGGCAAGAAGACAAATGAAGGCAGGATTTGAGACAGTTGTGTTAAATCGCTGGGTTTAGTGAGCAGTTGAAAATAGCTATTAGTAGGTGAAAGATGGATTATCATGTTGTTTTTGGGAGGAAGTGTGTGTTTGTAGAAGATTAAAATAGAAGCTTATAGTCTAACAAATGTATTCTGTTTGCAGTTCTGTGTTTATCTTTATCTATCCATGTAATCTTACTGTAGAAAATTTCCTATATTTTAGTTGTTGCATTAGCTGTGTGCAAATAGGTTACATAACATTTTATCTGCATACTGTAGTTACATTTGGATGTTTAAGCATTGACATAGCACTGTGTATTACCTTCAAGGGCAGGACTTCCTTGTTAATGGAGAAAAAAGAAGCCATTGCTTTGGTCCATGACGCAAGACCAGCTACATTGCCGCAAACCCTCTTGGCAGTTTCAATATTGTAGTCAGGCATATCAAAATAGGGCTGCAGAAGCTCCACCATTTCCTCATTAATGGAGTCTTTGGGGAATTGCTAAAAGGGAATAGGATAAGGAAATAAGAAGGATGTGAAACTGAAAAGACACGTTAAGCTCACTGAGTCATTGCAAGTCAAATACAATATATAGAAAGTTAACAGTGGCCTTGTTATGAAAAGAGAGAAAAATCTTATATAATCCTTGTGTATGCACCTGCAGACTGCCCAGAAAGTTCCCAGCTGTCATGAGCTTTAGGGACTCCTGCCATGACGGCGTGTTGCAGTTTTTCTCCGGGTCAATTTTAACAGAATTGACCCTCCTCTGAAACAGCAGCAGCACACAATCCATGATCCGCATAATGAGATGAGGAGGGCGGCCTAGAGTTCGGACCGTGGCAATATCTGATGGCTTGATGGTCTGAGTGCACAGAAAAAAAGCAAGTGAGAATCTAACCTCGAGTAAGCACCATTTAGTCCATTAATATAATGTCAGTAATGCTTGAAGTGGAGTCGGCCAAAAAACAGCTTTACCCTATTCACTGAGAAAGATCGAGGAAGCAAGTAAACGGTGTGTGAAAAAAGGAAAATCAGTTGAGGAATGATAGCACTACAGCTTCAGGACAACTGCCCTGGCCTCAAGAGACTCATTAAAATTAGACAAACAGCAGGAGAATATCAGAGGCTCCCAGTGAAACCGGTTTCATCCTCTCCTTCTCTCTATTACTTCTTTTTTTTTTTTCCAGCACGATCTACCTCAGGAGAATTATCCAGCAGAAAGCGCTTATGCTGTTTCTACAGCAAACTTCAGTTTCCTGAACCCTCTTTTAACCTTGCATTTTTTATTGTGTGGGCTGTTGTCAAGGATATGATACTGTAAATATCATTGTGCATTTTTATCCATTTTGCATTTTAATCACAATGTGGTTCATCTGTCTCAGTTCAGTACTATTTTCTACTTCTTCCCACACATGAACTAATCTAACCTCAATCCCAAACTATTCTGTATTGAGTCATTCGTCCTGATAGAAATTTGCATATTTAATTTGTAACAATCAATCTAATATTATATATAAGCAATCTAGTATTTAAAACTGTGTATGAATCGATGTAAACAGCTAATCATATGCCTCAAGCAAACTGAGTGTTTTTATCACAGTTGAACAAGATAATCAGGGACCTGCCGTGAGGGATATAGATGCATCTATCTAGCTAGGAGGACAGCTTTAATTATAACACCACTGTGAAGCCCAGAGAGAAAATGCTAACTTTAGATACATAAATACAATTATCCAAGAGCTTGGAAGGAGGTCATGAAGTCATGTTGATGAATCTACATTTGGTACATGCAATTGATTATAGAACAACAGTGTAATACATGTTTTTTATTTTTTTATTTAACAAGCCTTTAGTGACATACCTGCAGGGACGCCTCTGCCTCCTCAAGCGCTGGTCTGGCTGCCTCCAGTTTCTCCTCAGCGATAGCCTTGTCAGCAGAAATACTATCCACAATGGCCTGAGCCTTGTCCTTTACTTTTTGCACTTCTATCTTCACACACTCTGCTGCCTGTGCTTTCACTGTAACTTCCTTTAAAACCTGTTGGATATAGGTCAAATTTTAGGCTCAAGCATTGACACAGGTATGTCTAGTTAAAATGCAGAAGAAAAAGTCACATTTATTTTCTGTGACTGAACATACTGCCTGTTTGTGACTTAGAGTAAATGTTTGATAGATCATAAGGAAAATAGAAATGTATGCAGTTTGAGTAACATACCATATCAGCTTTTTCGTTAGCAACCTGTAGCTCCTTCTCTTTCACCTCTAGTTCTTTACTCAGAGCAGCTACAGACTCTGATGCTTCCTTCAACTTTTTTAGACCTGTGTTCATTCTGAAAGACAATTCAGAAAGTTGTGTGTGTGCAGTGCGAACTTTTTTGCAATGTGTCTACTTACCTGTTGGCTAAAGTCTGAACCTCAGTGCGTTTTTCTTTGTATATCGCTTTATAGCCCTGGATGAAGGACAGGTATGACTTTGGTGTTACATGGGTGGAGCGTCTGTACCTAGAGTAAATTTGAATGATGTTACCATTAGATCAACTGCATATTGAATTCAATTGGAATTAAATTTAGTATGATACCTTTGGAAGTAGTCCACACATTTCTCAGCCACACCATCTTGAAATGAACCCATACACTGGACAACCTCACTTTTGACTTGCAGTGAACAGTCAATGTCATAGAGAGAGAGGAAGTGCTGTGACACTGCAAGATAAACAGAAGAAACACATTAGGTTTGTTGTTATTTAGAGCTAAATCATTTATTGTATATTATATTACAGACTTACCTGCCACTAGAGCATCTTTGGGCCAACGGCTGAACCAGTCCATAGTGCAGCCTGATATGAGTGCTGGAAATTTTAAAGCCCGATTGCGAAACTTTTCCCCAACAGGAGAAAAGCACAACACAACATGAAGATTGTGTCTGACCCGAGACATGAAGTACTCATACAAGTTTTCATTGGTTGGAGGTCGCCGGGGAAACTCTCGCTTCATCACAGGGATAAGATCACTTAAGATCTCATCAATTTCATCTCGAACAAACAGATTTGAAACCTGTAAATACAAAAAAAAAAAAAAAAAGGTGTGAAGAAATATTACAACATTTTTTTTTTTTTTGTGTGTGTGTGGCTTTAACCTCTCCAGATGAAAGCACATTGTTCATATACTCAAGGAAAGACTCCTCCTTGATTTCATTATCAGTAAAAATGAAGCTGATGCCTTTCCCATGTTGACCAGCTGTTCTGTACAAACCCTTCAGATCGTCCATCAAGTTGGCTGTGTTATATGATCTGGCAAATATAAATATACATGCTTACAGTTCTAAAAATGAACAATAACAAAATCTGAACAACAAAGAACTGCAACCGGAGGCAACCTAGTCATTAGAAACATGATCTTACCGTGTTAAAGTAATCTGGAAAATCTTGTATCCAGCGATAAATGAGGCCAATCTTGTCAGGCTCTGTTTGCCTGAGCCCCCAACACCCACTAACAAGGCATTGCCACCTGAGGTCCTTATGATTCTCGAGACCTACATGTATACAGTTACATTTAGCAGGAGATGATAAAACAGTACACTGAAAGTATAAATGAGACAAAAATGCTAGGGTTACCTTGACTAAATGTATCATAGCATCCTGGAAAAATACCATATCCATACTCGTCCCTCTGATACTTTCATTGAAAAGGCTCAAGAACATGTTTAGACGGTCTTTCAAACTTTCAAATGACTCAATAAATTCATACACTTTAGGCAAATCGAAGTCTGAATCCTCTGGCTCCTCACCTAAAAACATATTCATTTTATTATAGAATCTGTTTTATCAATAAATTGTTTCTTGCAAAATAACAATAACAAGTATTCCCTCTTACCTGTAGCTTCAGGTGCATCTCGTAAAAAGTCAACAAAGTATCTGTCTACTCCATAGTCCACTATAGTTTTGTGCTCCTCTCCGAGTTTCTCCCCCACTAGTTTTGCCAAAGCCTGATCGAACCACTCCACATCTTCCGGCATTGTAAATCTGTCAGCTATCACACGTTTGCACTCATGCTTCCACAGGGCCAGCAGTACCTGAAAACATTATTTATGACATATATTTACTTTCTATTCCAAAAGAAGGTTGAATTCTGTCAACTGGTCAAAGGTTATAGAGTGAATACATTTCACCACTCACGCAAATAGATTCTTAACTGGCTATATGTCATTTTTTAAATTTTATTTTATCATTCAGAATGTGTTTTATGCAATATACTATAGCTGGTCAAGAGGAGTAGTAATCTGTGAAAAAGTAAATAAAGAATTTTGTCATGATACCAATAATTATGAATAATGGTAATACAGTGATGTGTCACAATAATCCTAACACTAAAATATTTCACTGTGACATCCCAAAACAGGTAAGGCATAAAATGTTATTCACTTTCAAAATTGTAGCAAAAGAGTGAAAGCTGGAGGAAGCAGAAATGAACATTGACCCTAGGCATGACAAAGAAGGATAGAATTAGAAATGAACTCCTCATCTTAAATGTTTTGGAAATGAAATGCCAGACTGAAATGCTCTGGACAGGCACAGAGGAGGGAGAGAGCAAACATATTGGTAGAGAATGGGATGTTTTTTGAGGTGCTGATCGGGTGGCCCAGAGGAAAACTAACAAGGACATTTATGGATGTGTCATTTGTTTGTTAGCACTAGAGACTAGGATACATTATGTAGCCAAGCGGAAGATGATTCACAGGAAAACAAATCATTTTTATTACATAATTTTCTCACCTCAGTGGAAGTGACCACCTCAGAGGTCGTACTAAGCATTCCTTGCCAGACTCTGGACAGATCTCGCAGGTTAAAGATGTAGTGGAACTTAGCTGGTGTTGGAAGCATTTTGACCTTTGTTAGCTGCCACAGATGACGGGTCAGAGAAACCAACCGAGGAATAGCATTTCTCACTTCATCACTGAAGCCTCGCGCATCACAGAAATGACCCTCACCAATGACACCTGGGAGAAAAAAAACAACCCAAGTATTATGTAATGTACATTCTGTTCTTATCTCATTTGCAAGGATATTTATAAAGTTATGTAAATTAAAGGTGCACTACTAAGTGACTTTTTTGGTGGGAGATCTCCCACCTGCTTGTCTCCATGGAGACATTATATTAGACTTCTTATCTCATTCAAGATGTTTTTTCAATTACATAGTGCAAAAGTGAAACAAAGACAAATACATGTCTTTCCTTTAATGATTGCTATGACTACATTATTAAATTATATTAAATAATAAATGTTATTTGAATCTTCTAAAAGTTATAAGTTATAAAAAGTTTCTTTTTATATCTTTTTGCAAAAATATATATTATTTTCTTACCAAAAATCTTGTCAATGGAGGTGTTAGAGGGCAATGTGCAGTTAAAAATAGAAAACTGCCTTTTTAGTCTCTGGGGGATGTCATTGCGTCCTCCTCCAGGATGGATCATTGCTGCTAAAAACTGGACATCCACAATACTGGTAAACTCTCCAGGTTTCTCCAAATTATAAAAACCATTCTGCTCCATCAGCTGTCGCACAATCTCATTTGTCACCTGTTATTTTTTGGCAAGAGCATACATACATTTATCACATCACAATTAACAACATTAACTAGGAATGAAAAGGGAGAGAATAGAGCAAACCAAATATTCCTGGTCCTACCTGGTCTCCCCACTCATTGATAACAGGCATGTTGATATCATCTATGAAAATAGTCATTTTCTTTCCAGCAGGAGGTCCATAAGTACTGCCCATTCTCTTGTCTAGATAACTCTCAACAGATCTCTAGATGGAGCAATCAAATTAAAAAGTCACCACAAGTCACACAAAACAGTTAATTTCATTTCTCATTTCTAAGAGACCGACTTGAACTTTTAATTAATTCATTGAACTAGATACTGTATTTGTACTTGATATAGCAGGTTAGTTCAAGTGTAAAAGTAAAAGCACAAATCTGAGCACAAATGTAAAAAGCACAAATGAAAACTATTTCTCCACCTGAAACATTAGTGGTGTGGTTGCTGAGGAAAAATTTAGACTTTTGCTCATATGCGTCTCAGGGTCACACTTTGATACATAGCTCTTGATCATCACAGTTTTGGCTGTTCCCTGTTCTCCAATCAGCAACACAGCCTGGGAAAAAACATTCATATGTGATGCAATAAAATACAAGATAATAATTTCTGTATACTTTTTTTAATCAGTGCTTTCTTTAATTATTAATCAAACTTTTCTCACCTTTCCTTGTTTTGCTATAGTCTGAATAAGAAAGTCTGTTCTGACATTGTCCACATTGGGGACGAGGATGGAGCTGTACTCAGGGGTAATGTCAGTTGGATAGATATACTCGTCTACTTTGGAGTTCCAGTGAACCCAATGCCCTGTAAAAGAAACAATATTTATACAGTATTGGAAATATTAGTTTCTTGTCTATTGCCTGGACCTCTAAAGAAATATTTCATTTTAAAGATAAATATATACCGAAAGCTGTGACATAGTAGTCGAATATTGTGTCTTCACTCTCAGGAGGAATTTCTGGCAGATTCAGGGATAAGCTATCATTTGCCCGGATCCACAGCTCCATCTTTCTCCGGTCATCTAGCTCAAGTAAAGCTCCTGTACTCCACATCAGAGCAAAGACATAGAGCCGCTCCAGGTGCTCTCTGGATATGTCTCCACACTGTTCCTGGAGATAGATGACACACAAAGATAACAATACAAATGTAAAAATATAAAAAAAAAAAGAAATCTTACTCTTTGCGGTATGAGTCCCTGCAGCATGTTGATACACTGCATGATGACAAAAGCCTCCAACATATCCATTTTGAACTCCAGAGATTGCACACTGAAGCGGAAAAGCTCCGAAAATGAAGAGGTGAACAGTTGCCTTAGGATTTCAGCTTCATGGGTCGAGCGTTTCTTCAACCAGCTCTGAAGAAGTATCACAAATAGTGCATTTTTGTATATTACTTCTTTTGTAAATCTATTCAATTTAATTAATAGACACTGTAAGCACCATTCCAATCATTACCTCCAGTATAGGACTCCAGTTGAGAACAGAAGAGCTCATGAACACCATACCATTACGTGATACAGTCGCAGGAGATGCGTTGTCAATATTGTGAGGTTCAAAAACAACTTTACAGTTGGGCGCCATGGGAATGCGGTCACCATTCGCCAGTGTAAGAGTCCGATTGTCATCCAAAACAGAGTTAAGGTTCTCTATCCAGATAGCATCAACTGGTCCATCAAGAACTATCCAAATGTGCTCTCCTATAACAAAGGATTGTTTTATTAATCTGCATCAAGGCAACCATGTAATACTGCTGTACTTGAAATCATAACATCTTTTAAGACCTTTACCTTTTTTGGCCCTCAGTGTTTTTCTCCAAAGTGTGGAGAATATTCCATCTGTCCAGTCATTTGTAGCAACGTCCAGACGACCAAACATCTGAGGAGCTGTGATGGCTTTGGGATTCATGCGCATTTCTCTATGAGGCTGACCACACTCTATATAGAAAGTACAGAAACACATATTCTTTCTTTTACCATTAATGGGTAATATATATATAGCATGTATAAGGAAAATTGAAGATTATGTACAAGCTTAAAAGTGCACTGCGTAACAGTTCTGCAGGGTTCACCACCTGCTTGTCTTTAGGGAAATGTTATTGCTTAGAATGTTCCAGAGTATAGATTAAACCTATATATCACAAGGGAGACAAGCGGGTTACAACATTATGCTACAATATAATTCAGATCTGTGGAGAATCGCCTCTATTCACAGAAGGAATTAATGTACTTTGAGCAATGAATAAATGATAGATGTATATGTTTAATGTTATACCATGGAACATTCAAGGCAAAGCAATAACATCTCCATCTACACCTTTAATATATCTGTATGGTTTACCTGTCATGGCTCTCATAAGAGTATGTATACATGTGGTCTTCCCGGCACCACTGGGTCCTAATGCCATCATTCCATGTCGCACTCTCTGCGTCTCAAACAACTGAATGACCTTTAGCTTCCACGGGGGGTGGCTGATTAAACCTGCTTCCTCAACCTGACAAAAGAAGGTCAGATTTTTAAAGCACAACTAAGGCTAAAGAGCTAAAAATGTTTACTTAACAAAAGCACAAAGGGATTTGTGTAGAATATATTTACACATACCTGTCTATCAATTGCATCTTCTAGTTCTGGGTATCCTGCTTTATCAAGGTGGATGCCAGGAAAAAGATCTTCAATCAAGCTCAGGAACAAAGGCTCATCTTCATCAATCTAAGAAAAACACACAATTACCCCTTTAATTAGCGTTCATTTTTTTCCGTGTTGAATTAAATTGTGTCTTTAACTCACCAATTTGGAGAGGTTCATATCCCGGAGGACTCTCATCACAATAGTGGATTCAGTGTCAGAAGGGTTAGCACGCTTCGCCGCACCCAAGGTTCGCAAAACAGACAGTATATTTCGCAAACCAAAATCATAGTGAACCTCAAAAAGAAACATTCAAGAATATTTATGTTTAAAGTCAAATTGATTGAATGTCTCACTGTACAATTGATAGTATGCATAATGAGCCACAATATTCTACAATTGAAATCCATCTAGTTTACCTGTTTGGAAAGCTGCTCTTCACACAGCTTGTACAGTGTGAAGAACTTGCGGGCCAGCTCCATGTTGTCAATAAACCCGCAGCTGGCCAGTTTAACCCGAATTATTATTTGTCGATCAGGAACCATCATAGCCACTGATCGGAAGTTGATTTTCAAATTTTCAGGAAGCTCTTGTCTCCCAGCATAACCTGGGTTCTGTTCATTTAGAATGAAACAGAAAGAAATGTAAAGACAGGTTCTATCAAGTTATTCTTATATTTATACAAATGTACACATATCTTTAAGTATTAACAGAAGAAAATCATTAAAGTTTATGGCTGATTCTCACTTTCAGCTGCAGAAATCCCTAAGGACTAAGGCTTAGACTCAGAGAGCTGGTCTTTGATTAGTGGGTTTCCACACTTGCAGGCGCCCTCACACACACTCAAGGGAAATTGATCTCTAACCTCATTCACCACAAGGAAAAGTTATTCCTGTCTAATGACTAGCCTTGGGATAGCACGTAATTTACAGTCACCTAACAATTACTGTGGGGAGTCTATTATAATTAAATAAATGTATTAAAAGACTCTACATTAACATATATCATCACAACACATTAACATCATAATCATCACACTATTCTTCACAAGTCATTTTATATAGTAGTTATATTAACAAGCCAGTAGGTAATTGGTTTAATTTGTCAATACCATAGTTAGGAAGATGCCAAACTCTGGATTCATTTCAACATGATCTCCATCTGTGAAGATAAAGCTCTTTCTCCTCTCCTTCTTGCAGGTGAGTACAATGGCAATTTGCTGCGCTGCCACTGATAGAACTGGGAGGTCAATTCGATTAAACTCATCAAAACATCCCCAGGATCCGGACTGGGCCAAACCTGGACAAATGCATTAGAATCAATTAGTCATTAAAATGAGACAGTGACATTAGTTAATATTCAGTTGTACCTTTGAATATTCTTCCCAAGCCTCTGAAGTCCATTTGATCAGAACAATTAAAGACAACTACATATTTTCCTAGACAGCGACCCATGTCTTTTGTGGTCTCTGTCTTACCTGGTGATCGAAGGAATGCTCAAAAAAATTAAGATTTTGTCCTAAAAAAAACCCCCAAAAAACATAAGGAAATGATTATGGTTACCTGTTCCTGCTGGACCAGCGGGAGCTCCACCCATGCTCATACCAAGAGCCTGTGCAAGGGTTATGTAGCACCTGAAATATTACCACAATGCATCCTGATCAGTCTATTGACAAAGCGTTAGCTTATTAATTTGCTTGTTAATACATGCATTGAATGCATTAAACTAAACAATGTAATACAGGGGGGATTTAGGGGAGTATGGCTCAGGTCTGTGTTCAATAGAGAAATAGCTGTGATTGGATTGTACTCTTGTCCTGAGGGTGACCAATCTACAAAATGGTTTGCAAGCAGAAACAATCTGAGAACAAATCAGCATTTCAAATATTTGATGATTCAGTTTTTATGTTGGCACTCAATTTGTCTTTCTGCCATCTTGGTGTATGTTTTTTTTCAGTTTCCAATAGACACACAAAGAAAGCAACCAAAAATAGTATAACAAAGGTAAATATCCAAAACAAACCAGCAGTGAGCAATAAGTGATTTTGCCCCTAGCCATAAGGCCACATGCCACATCTTGGCACAGAGATGCTGTGCAGTGTCTGCTGGTAGCTCCCTCCCTGCTGCTGTCTGATCTTGTTTCTCTCCACTTGTCTCTTGCTATTTTCCCATGTGCCTGCTCATATTACTCTGTGGGTGTCTGTAGGTCTGACACAGGAAGTAGCTGAACTTAAGATGGTCCTTTCTGCCAGTCAAGTTTATAATAGGTAAAACCAAAATATTTATACAACATTTATTATTACTGGTTTATATTCTGTAACTGTCAATCATTCGTTTGAGAACAACCTAGGTCACTGAAAATTACTTTTATAAAGAGCGGAAGGTCCAGGTTGTACAGGCAGAAAAAGTCTTGAAGAAAATCACACAAATAAAACAGTTCCCCACTCAGAAAATTCACCTATTACCTACCTTGCGGTTCTACTATTTTGGCTGTTAAATCTTTCCCCTGTTTTGAAGGTTGCATTTACTATAATAATGTTTGGACAGGTGCCTCCTCGACATTATAGTACCTGTCAGTCAGAGGTGTTATAACAAGCCTTTCGGTGCAGCCCAGAAATTCATTCTGGTAGACAAAGCCCACATCAGTGATGTTGATGGCCATCTTGTCTGAGTCCTCATTGAAGTAGAAACGGCACTGCTTTAGCCACTCAAAGTCACTGGGGCTTTTGATATGCAGCCGGCACTGGAGAAAAAAGCCAACTGTTAAGAATAGGAAATCGAAGTGCACCATTTAGGAAGGACACAGGAGATGAAAGGAAGAGGAGTAGAGAGGCGAGAAAAGCACCAGACATGTGGATGAAAAAGAGGTCATCATAAAGAACAGAAGTACTGCAAAATGAGCAAAAAACAGAGAGGAAGGTGGCAATCAAAGACACAACGAGGCATTCGGGGAGATCAAAACTGTCCATTATATCAGGCAGTGATGGTTGCTGATCAATCACATGAAAGGAAGCAAACAGCATACCTAATGGCTCCATGTGTTAAAAAGAAAAAGTGTAGCGCCACAGGAAGTATCTGTAATGAGCTTCATGCAAACGGGTGAAATATGACAAGTTTACACAGTAATACAGCATGCTTTGTTACAAAACTGTGCAAAGGCCTGTTTTTGTGATGCACAAATGGTGTAATTTTTGTTCCACATTATGACTTTGAACTCATGTTATTCCTTAGCTTCATTTATTTATTTATATTTATATAAATTGTTTACTCAACCCAACCCAACTCAACAAATTCTTTGTATTTTAATTGCAAAAAACTTAGTATGGTAGCATCCTCTGCTTGTTACTATGGAGATAAATGCGTTGAATGCACTACTGTGGAAAATTCCAGGCAAAGCAATAACATCTCTGTGATGGAAATTTATAGTGTGGAAAGATTCCTCTCAATCTGTCTTTGTTTAAATGAATGTGATTTCTGCCTTAGACCAGACCAGTCATTAGCATGTGTAAATGCTCAGCAGACACAAATGTCTCCACCTTCAGGATACATACAATATACCTATGTATTGTCTTAGCTGTCATCAAATGTAAGTTAAGTTGATTAGCACAAGTCTATGAAAGTCACTCTGGTTTGATATGTATGTAACTTGTATTTCTGTATAACTACTCAGAGCTCAAGTGCTCTGGGGGTGAGACTCAGAGATGAGATGCTCTGGGAGGGGGGCTAATGTGGTAGGGACATACTACTGGTGAGGAGAGGCTGTTGGTCTCTGGCCAGGGCAGGCCTAGGTTCTGTCCATATCAGCTGTAACAACAAAAATAAACCTTTGTCTGTATTCCAAAAACTCATCGTGCTTCACAAATGGATTAATTATTTTTTCTTCAAGATCTATATATTTTTTTCCACAACATCTCCATGGAAACAAACAGGTGGAGTACCCTACATTTAAGTGAGTGACTGTGGATTAAGCTTGGTATATACTCCTCAACAGTGCTTTGCACAGGATTGTATCGAATTGTATTGTTGTATTGTATTTTTCTAGTAAACAAACTTACAAGATCATCAAATATGTCTCTCTGGTGGACGTGGATGGTGATGAGGGTTTCGTACTTGGTCCTTTCCACAGTCCCCAGATCTTTCGTGGTCATGTCAATCAGTGTGTTGAGTTGGTCCAGGAAAAGTTGATTGGTTTTGGCCATGATGCGACGATCATACCTGGCGTTGGTCAATGCCTCCTCTGCATCTCTTGTCCATATCATCTGGATCCCTAACAAGCCCACCTAAATCAAGAAAAGTGCTTTTAGTGCACTCTGCGGCAATGTCAGGATAAAGACATTTACACTTAATCAAATGAAAAGGCTATGATGGCTGACCTGGGCGGGGTAGGAATTAAGAAAATCGATCAGCTGGAAACCAGAGTCCTGTATAGTCAAAGCCGCCTGTCGGATAACTTGGTGCAAAGACCTCTGGGACTCCTTAAGCAAAGAATTAAGCCACACTTCCACATTGCCTTCAGCTGTAACGGGACGCTCCAGCTCCACAGTCTCTCCTTCCCGAGAGGACACAGCCAAAATCCGGTCATAAACCTAGCCAGAGGAAAATTTACAGCTCACAAAGATTTTTATGTACCTTTTAGAACATTTTGTACCTCATAATAGCTTACTTTGTCGTGAAATCGAACACTTTTAATGTTGTCAAAGACATTTAGAAGGTGGGCCTGGATAGTATGAGAGTCTGAAGCCTGACCCAGGATTTCCAAAAGGGCCGGATCAGACACAAAGAAGAAACGAGGAAAGAGCAACCGCTTCTTTTCCAAATAGCTGTGGAAGAGCACATTGTAAAATATTAGCTTCGCTCTTTTGTCTTCTTTGAACCACTTGTATTTTGATATAAGTCTAAATGGTTTCTCATATCCTGTTGTACTCACCCTGTAAGTGATTTTTGGCAGATTTCAAGCTGTTCGAGTAGGTGAGGCAGCAGCTGTCCCATAGTCTCATCACCTACACATGACTGCACCACGTTGGGCATCTCATGAGCTCGCATCATGATCTTTACCCAGGATTTGTCTATGTTAGAGAAACGCTTTGCTTCCTGGAAAAAAAAAAAAAAACAACAACATTCTATTTCTGCATGTTTCTGGATTAAAAAGTTAAAAACATAACTGCAACTGCTATTCACAATAATATACTATATATAATAATATACCATGCAAATTATACAGAATTAAAATCTGAGTATGTATTTTTGCCAATTCAAATTTCTACTGCTTATATAATGTGCTTGCAAATGTATTATATTCCATGAAAGCTTTAGGATATGTGACCAGTTTTGAACCTTAGGCATCTGTTTAGCAATGTCTCCTCCCACAAACACAGCTTCCAAGTAGATCCAGAGATTTTGTACTGTCATCCAGTTTTCTATAATGTCAGTGGTGTTGGAGAGATTCTGCACCCACTTCTGAATTTGGGTTTTAAATGGAGTGTTATACCTGTAGGAAAAATTATGTAGTCTTAGACAAACTTCACTGATCCACGAGGGAAATGACTTATATTATATTAAAATAGCCCCAAGTTATGAATCACTGTATTGAATAAATTTGCATCCATTGACGTCACATACCTATTACTCATAAGAGATCCTAACATCATCAGGCTGTCCTCCATGCTTGTTATTATCTCAGAGGTGCTGTCTCCCCTCAACAGCAGCTCTCCACGTGTTTTAAAGTTTGCAAATGTAAATGTCTTGTTGTCCCATTCAGCAATAACCATCTTTAGCTTCTGTTCAATGTCCCGCTCTTTTACTGCACTGATACAAATATCCTGAGGACATAAGAACACACACTTATTATAATGAACTGTTATAATAATAATATAATTGTTGATTTGAATTGGTTTCTACATAAGTATATAAGTAAACAGTAGATCCAATGAACTCTTCAATTTACTAAAAAATTACCTCAATTTCTTCCTTATATTTGAGCAAAGGAGCCTCCATTATATTACGTAGCTTGAATGTTTCGGTCTCCACTTCAAATGGATGCCCAGTCACCTGATACAAGCAAGTCAAGTGAAGTAAATATATACAATTTGAAATTTCACAATAATTTAATAATTTTTAATAATTTTTGTCTCACCTCAGTAATTCGCTTCCAGTGACGTGTCATCATTGCTTTATTGCTCATTAGTTCAAGCAAAGGACAGCACTCACTAAATTCATCAATTGTTTTCTTGAGGTCCAAGAAGGCCTGCCACTCTTTCAATGCACGTGGGAGCTTGCGGCATCTATTTTGACCACACAAATGAAAAATATTTTCTATTTTTACCACAGAAGATAGTGTAAAACTAGTGCAAGGCTATCTGTCAATGTACAAATGCAGGACAGGTCTTTTGCAGCACTGTGCACTGAGCCTTGAATAACACCTCTAAAACTGACAGACAGCATTAAGTCCAGTGGAGGAAGTTGTCTTGTCTTTTACGTCACCATGGATTTCCCTTGAGACTCACACCTCCTCACAACTTTTCTTTTCTATTTTTTAGTGATGTGCAAGTTACTGATTTTAAATGTACACTTTAGACATAATTACATTTTTCATTTATTTTTGATTGTCTGTTTGAGCTTTCAAAATAGAAGTTCTGATTGTTTTGCTCTTTAAATGCAAATTTATGTGCATCAGATGAGAAATGTATCCTCTAAATATAATGTATTTTCACAGTGTGTGCTCTTTGCTAAGAAAATAATTACTTTTTTGACAAACCTTTTTCAATCTAATTCTAATACTAACCTTGTTTGAAAATCCATGAGTTCATTATTGATTCTTTCAATGTGTATGTCAGCCCAGAGTATATCATAGTAACCATTGACAGTCTCAATCACATTGTTGTAAAGTCCATATAATTTTTGCAGTAATGTTAGCTGCTTTCTGATTTCCAGTAGCTGAGGGTGCTGGGTAACAGGAAGTCCAAACAACTCCTCTCCTCCGGTGTAAGTAATGTATTTCCTGAAAAGGTTGTCAAATCGATTCTGGAAATAAAGTGAAATGAATATGTAAAAACAAGCACCCAGCTCATTTATAATACGTGTTGAGAAGCAATGCTCGGTACCTGAAACATAATCAGTCTATCACTTGCATCTTGTGGAGCCAGACCCACAACCATGGGTCCATCCTGTCAAACACAGAAACAAATAGGTACTAATTTATAAAAGCTAGTTTCATTTTTCAGTCTTTGTTTTGATGTTTTGTTTCACCTTCTCATAATCTTGGTAGAAGTATTGACAGTCCTCCACAAAAGTCTCCACATTGCTCAGCAGTTCTCCTCTGAAGTTTGGCTGCAGGGCCACTAGCTCGTTCTGCACCTCTGCGGTGCGGGAGAGGAGTTTCTCCCAGGTGTATCGCAGCGTGTCTACTTTGTCCACTTCTTCTTTTGCCACAGACAGCTCAAATTTGTGAAGCATGGCATATGACTCCTGGTTGGAAAAAGTAATATTATTGCACTGATTTCTACAGCACAAAGTAGGGGAGGTACGGGAACTGTGTGCTCTTTATTTAAAAAAAAAACTGAAACAGAAAGGTAATCTGTTTTTTTCTTTGTTTTTTTATTTCAGTTAATGATTTTTGGGAAATCAAATTTCTTGGACTAAAAATATGGACATATATTTTACCTCTACAGGCCCAACCAGGAAATCTATTGATATCTGATGCTCTCGGATCTCCTTGAGGGCTGCCATGGCAATGCGAATGTCGTCCAGATCTTTGATTTGGCGATTCAGTTTCTTTCCTGCTTCATCTACAAATGTAAAAATCTGCTCCATCTCAGAGCGGTACTTCCTGTTGCAGTTCAAACCATAGTCCACCATCCAGCTCCTGGTTTCAGCTGTCAGAGACATCTTCAGGTCAGCTAAAGGTGAAAAATGCAGACAGACATTTCAACACTGATTTAAAAGCTGTTCCAATATCAAAATATGAATTACTTTGAAATGTAAATTTTACCTGTAAAAAGTGCTAAAGCTCCGACAGTGATGTATTCAGGCTCAGAGAGGATTTGTGTTTGAAGGTCTTTGTAGTAAAGGATTTGACTCTCAAATTCGGACAACAAGGGAGATCCCTGAAGGAACCTACAATCGTTGAGCAACATTATTATTCCCATACAACTCCAAAGTTTGTAAAACGCAAGTCAAATAGCTTGTATAGTACTTTCGCATGGTGTCTTCTCTGTCTTTTTTCCAGATATGGTGGTAACAGCTGAATCGGTCCAAAGCATTGTTCACTTCCTGGAGTTTCAACAAAATAAATTTGAAGGAAAAGCTCAACATGCCTGTCACTGATTGTATAAAATTGTGTATACCTTTTTTGTGCAACTTATAGAAGAGCTAAGAACAGATACTAGTTTTACAATTTCCTTGTTTTCTGACACGCTCTTGTAGTAGTTTCGGGGCTGCACTGGGATGGACTGGACCACTGCAGCTGATATATCTGAGGTACTTCCATCTAACATTGCAACAGAATTGACATAATATAATTAAATAGGAACATACATTTTATTTGAAGTACAATTTCCAAATCCATTTTTCAAAAGCATACTTGGGGTGATTAATCGATCACAGATGGTATGGGTATACAAAAATGAATCTGAATAAAGTAGTTTATTTTTGCGTACTGTACCTGCCAGACTGCGGTGAGTTCCTGCTCCATCTTCTGACTCACTTTCTGAGGTGTCTTGCTTTAAACTTGCCAGTCGTCGTTCGTTCATTTTCCTCTATAAAAACATTGAAATTATTGTTTCGGAATGTTTGATTTTAGTCGAACAAATGTGAAAATAAGACTTTTTGGTGATTTTTGTGAAGTCGACAATTTATTGTACTCACTTTGGAGATCCTCTCTTTGCTCCACTGGCTGACTCCTTTACTGACACTAACCACACACTCCACCGCTCGGTTCAGAGTCTGTTGGACCTCCTCTAGAGCTGGTACCATCACAATATTTGGGATGGAGAGAGCCACATTCACTCTGAAGATTGCAGGCTGAAGTCTGGTCTTTGTGAAACTGAATGAATCATTTTCACCTACAATACAGAAAAACATCAGGGACAAAGTAAAAGAAACCCTCAAACTAGCAACTAAGTAAAGATATTCTAATGTTATTTATTTAGTTTGAATAATCAGTGCTTACTCATAAAATGCCCTTGTGAAGAGTGGATACGTTTGCGTAACATCTCTAAGGTATTACGTGTCAGTCTGAGTAAAGCATCCACATTACGGTGGTTAAAATAGGAAAGCAGTTCTTGAGCCTCCTCTTCCATGATTTCGATCAGGTCTCTCTTTTTCTTTTTCCTCATCAGGGGAGACGAAGGGCCAACACTCGGAGGTGGCATCAAGGTATTTCTGGAGACGAGACGACCTTCTGAACGGTGCTCATCTTCACCTGAGACAGACATCTTCTTATATAACCATATACAAGTTTATCAACACAACACAGAGTAAGATAATATGTATGGGGACAGTTCTTATCTTTATGAAAAGCGGTAATGCAAATGATAATGTTATTACCTTCACTGTCTATGTGGTCTACAGGCTTATTTTCAAGAGGGCTTTCCTCTTCGGTTTTCTCCGCTTCTTCTCGTTGATTGTGGTCAAACTCCATCAGCATGTTGATAAGTTCATTGGTGGCCTCCTCCACTAGAGAGCTTTTCGTGTGCAGTATCTGGGCTTGTTTTATACATAGGTCCTAGAAATAGATTTATGCATTGGTAAATCTTAAAGGTGCAATATGTAATTTTTCTAAAGGAGGATCCATCACTTGATCTCTATCTCTCCACAGAGATGCCATTGCTTTACCTGGAATATTCTACAATAAGGCATTTAAACATATCTGTCTAACATTTATTTCAATTGCATTTTGCAGTATTTTTATTGCTCAAAAATTACTTGTAAACAAACATTGTTACTGTGTGTAGTGCCACCTGCTTGAGATTGTTAAGTTTAATATCATACTGTGGAACATTCCAAGCAAAGCAATAGCAGCTCCATGGAGACAAGCAAGAAGTCACATTGCATTTTAAACATAAATATAGTTTGCTATAGAGCATAACCATTTGGCAAAAATATCAAATTAAACTGTATTTTCTGACGAGCATTGCAGTTGCGATTGGATTTGCAAAGACAGGGAGGGTATTGTTGTTTGGTGCAGGTTATTATGGTTATTTCAGTCTTTGCAATTTTAGTAATTGTGGCTTTTAATTTAAAATTTGCTACTTCAATTTGCTTGCAGTTCATCTTGCAGCCCTACTTTTCATGTATCAAGTCTAATAAATTTATTTAGAATCCATGAATAATGAAGCCAGTGGTTATAAATAAAACGTAACCATAAATAAATTCATAGTGATAACAGCTTCCTTACCTTTGTTGTCTGAACAAACTCTTCACATGTAACAGGTTCATCCTCTGGCAGTATACACAGGGTGGAAGCACTCATCTCCTGCAGAACTGCGTCAATCCTGAACTCCACCAAGTCATTCACCCGGTCCATCAGCAGCTCTAAGTCCTCTGGAGAGACAGGAGAGGGATAGGAAGAGACAGATGGAAAAGTGCCCAAACAGATGAAAGTTCAGATTGGCACTTTAAACAAGCACACAAAAATTCTGCTATACAGAAAGACATCAGCTAAAGCAATTTATCAACCTCAAATAGTCAAGCTGAACCATTTTTGACCCTTACCAAGAGACTTTTCGATGCGAGAGAGGTAGTTATCTATAGTTAGAGAGGTCCAGTTCAGAGTAGTCAAACCGGGCAATATGGCCTTATCCACCTGTCAAATGTTTAATTTAATGTAAGGCTTGCTGTGAATTGGACATGAGTTTTTCACTTAAGACTGAAAATACCTAGAAACACCTTACCTTAGCAACATGTGGTGTAGTGAGTTGTTCAAAAACACTATGAATCTTTGCACGCACTCTGGTATTCTCACTCAACATTAGCTGAAATATCAACAGTTTACTTAAAGAAACAAAAAATATAACATACAAAATACAAAGACATATAATTCTACAATATGGAAGGTACCTGTAAGTTATTATAATTCCTTTTCAGGCTTTCCTGTTTTTGCAGCAGCACAGTAGCAAAGGATGGCACCTCTAAGTTCATTCTTTTCATACAATTCGTCTCCCTTATCTGAGTCAGGATTTCAGGGTCAAGGTTCACAAACAGCTCCCCAGTTGCCTGAGACCTGACTAAGAGAGACACCTGGAGACCCACTCTGGCATCCTCCATCTGTGCATTGAAGATAAGTATGATTTGTTTAGACAGCATATTCATTTTTTTTATTTATATATATAGAACAACATTATGCAACAGGATAACTGAGGTTTATGCAAGAGCCTTTATCATGATCTATTTTACCTTTTTCATCCAGTTTTGATGATAGAGTATCTCAAACTCCAGCAGGACTCTAGCGACCCTGTTGTAGTTTTTGATTATTCTTTTTGCTTCAACAGTAGAAAGAACACCTGGATGCTGCACAGCAACAAAATAGCATCATCAATGTTTCATGATCTTATAAATATATTAAAAAGATATTTTTTCTCAAACCTGTTGAAAGAGGTCCATTGGCCCCTGGATTCTGCTGTAAAGTTGTCGAGCCCACATGATTCGACCTGCTACAGGAGGAAGGTCTCTCCCAATGGGAGGGTCTAGTTTCTGTTTGATGTAAATACGGGAGACCATTTCAATGTCTCGTCCATAGCTTTGCAGAATGCGCTGATACTTCTCCTCAATACCAAGGTCAGGAATCCCTAGTCTGTAAAATAAGTACACTAAAAGTCAACTGTACATTGTCTTTTTACTGTATTAGCAACAGTACCAAATAACAGCAACAGACATAAACATGTACAGTACCTCTCAAATTTCTTCAACACATTCAGTGCTCTTTCTGTGTTTTGGATTTTCTCAAAAGTGCTATTCATGAAACTCTTGAGGTCATTCTGTGTCAAAATAGAGCATTGTTAGTTTATGTAACAATGTCTTTCACTTGCCTTCGGGCTATCTTTAATTGGGAATATTTAACTTACATGGAGCTCCAAAGTACTTTTGCAGAAATCTTCATAGTCTGTATCAAAGTCAGTTCGCCTGTGGTCCAAAAAACTGTAATGTTTCTTCTTCATGTTATGAACAATAGCCTGTGTCAAAAAGATATAGACAATATAATAAATATTCATGCTTCATGCAGTATTTTCTCTTTTTGCAAGACATGTAATTACTTTTTACTTTGGGGATAAGAAACTAGTTTGTTTTGAATCCCTTATGTAAAAAGTAAGTAATTAGCAGGAAACATAGTAATGTGTCACATTAAATGCACTGGGTGTTCGAGATGTTAAGACATGCGTGATGTCCACTAAATAATGAAATGAGGTTATGCAAATGGTGTTGTATGTTATTTGTCTATGAGCTAGATGGAAGTATTTTAAGACCATGCATTTAATGGATATTTCAAAAGTACACATTACCTCCCATTTCCCCTGCATTTCTGCAGTCTGCAGTCCATAAAAAGAATAAATCATGTTTTATACACTTTGATGTAGTAATATAATTATCGTGACAATTCATAATTAGATCACAGCAGTATATTCTGACAATACAATACTGAATAATAGTGTCCTGTTTTATTTGATAATTACATATGGAATGGTTTGTATAAAAACTGTACCAACCTGATTCTTTGTAGCCATTGTTTCTAGTCCCTCAATCTTTGACTCTTGTAAAACAGAGTAAGTTGAAATAGTGGTGAACATATCCAAGATCTTATTGAGTCTTTTTTGGAACGAATCAAATTTCCCAAAAATGTACATTTCACTGAAGTCAAACTGCCTCTCTGTTGGAGTCTGCTGCAGCTTCTGCTTGGTCTTCTGGTAACACTGCTGATATTCCTATAATGGGAGTCAAGATATTAGCTTCAGGTCTGGCCTATAGCATATGTTTTTATAGTTTACCTTATTTAAAGAGATAGAAGCTCGGATTTTCTCTGCCACTAGCTCTTGAGGCTGGTCCCATATTGTGTAAGACCCATTATTTGTTATATACGCCTTGCATGCCGTGATCATCTGATTTGTCACCTGGAGTCCACAAAAAGCAATTTATACATTTCCAACCAATAAAAGGGCTAAGGTGCAGTACTGAAGCAAATTAACAAATTTACTGAGTATGAGACAATGTGAGCCTCAGTGGTCCAATAAGCAATAATTTACAGATGGATTGTGACAGTTAATCTAACATTATTTGCTCAATGATCATGAAGAGCATATTGTATTTTAAATCCACTCACCTTCACCAAAATCGATGTAATCTTTTCAGGCGTATTGTAGTAGCGAGAAATGTTGTGAATCATTCTGATGGCATTGATCAAACTGGGTATTGCATCCACCATTGTAACCTGAGGAGAGAAGAGGCCAGTCTAAGTTTCTGTTCAAGATTATTTGATTTGTATGCAAAAATTTGAAATGTCTTACAGGGTCACTGTTATAAAGGGGGTCACAAAACTTCTCCAAACTATATAGGTATTTCACATTGTCTTTGGCTTCATTGGCTGCATCAGTAATCCTGATGTCAAGTTCACGCCATGTCTGGAAAAATAAATATACAATTTGAAATACATTTAGCTGTATTCAAATTAAATTATTTTTTAGTGGTAACATTTACCTTGATAAGTTTAGACTTTGCTAGTAAAAGCACTCCCAAAGCAGCTCGAACATCAGGGCTCTTCAGCTGATCCAAAAGATAGTTGAAGCGCGACATCCTTCTCTTCCAGTAGTCCAATTCAGCACGAGGACCAAGATCGTCTGCTTCTTTTCTTAACTGGTCACTTTCAGTCAGGACCTAAGAATTGAAAAGAAAAAAATAAACCACAGATCAGAATCGCTTTTTAACTGTGCAGTCTATACTGTACAATAAAAAAATATGTATATAAATAAATGCTTAAATTTTACATTCTGCAGGTATTGCTTTAATTTACATTTGATCCCAACAGGCTACTGAAATTAGTAGCCTGTTGGGATCCATTAATACTGATTTAGGCTTTTTAGAGTGAACTTTGCTAATCATCTGTTTTTTGTTTGTTTGCTTTTAGAGCTGATGATAAAGTATAGCGTAAAGGTCCTACATTATGCAGAACTGACTCTTGTGGTATTTTGTTTTATTCACACATGTTTGAGTAACTCTTTATTATGAGTCTGTCTACATCTCCAATGCTCAAAATGCACTGGTCCACCTTGTGATGTCATGAAGAGGGAGTTTAAACAGCTACCAATTCCAGGGCTGAAATGATCCAAATGATTCAACTGAAGGTGTATGGAGTTTAAAAACACAGTGGAGCACTTCTTGTGTTACCACATGACATCACAAGGAGGAACAGAGTGCTTTCATTTTGAGAGAAGAATCCCGTCTAAATATGCATTTTTTGTTTGTTAATCATGGGTGAAACAAAACACAACTCCAGGAATGTCTATGATGAGCAAACTAAAAAACATAGATCAGAAACTAGCTTAATATGGGGCTTTTAAAGTCAACCTTGGAAAAATGTTTATATTGAAAGATACTGCCAGTAATGCCTTGATACAATTGAAGACATCATTCCTCTGTTTTTTAACTCCTCATGGTTTACCAGTTCAATCTGCTTGATCCAGACTTTCATGCACGCCTCTATCTTGTCCGTGGTCTCTGTGCTGTGAGCTGCTGCCATGTAGTCTGCTGGGGTTTTCATTGCACGCAGGTCAAGTGTGTCACACTCCTTCAATGTCACCTGGAGCATGACAAACAAACATCACACTTTTTTTGTGCTAGTAATTATGCCAGATTTAATTCACTCCAATCCCTTTTAATCACCTATCAGAAAAAAGGCACAGAAGAAGGTGGTGGAAAAGCACTTAATTGCATTTTTTCTAAATAGTATTGTGATTGTGATTTTGATTTATGATTTGTTTTTATTGTAGAATCTTATTTGAAATGCATCTTTCAGTGATGTTCAGGAGCTTTCATATTCTGACAAAACTGAAATATGAATGGCCCAACTAGAATCACATGCATTTCAAACCATGTTTAGTCTAAATCACAAGATTTGTATGTTTTATACATAATAAGACGTAAGATATTTAGTTGTTTATACAGTAAATCATGTAAGTTAAATTGGTTTAGCGATTTGTTAATTGTGAGTGTTGAAACTGCAATTCTGATGTAATTTTGAAACATCTTTCTGCAGTGAAAATGGCTATTTAAATTGACGTGTTACCTTTTCTTGCAGGCTTTCTTGTGCTCCAGCCAAAACATTCACAAAACTCTCTAATGATGATATGAAGTCATGTTTGACAGTCTGGGCCTGAGGACTGGCCAGCTCTCCCCAGCCATGGTTCATCTTCCTCAAAGTAGGGATGAAGACTTCAGAGAGAAGCTGCTCCACACTTTTTAATAGGCCTCCTTCAGTTGTGTCCAAAATGTTGAAATTTACATCCTAAAATCAAAGAGACTGTATAATACCTACAGGCATGGAAATCTGTTCCTGCTGGAATGGCAACAATACTTCAAAAAGCCATGTTGCAAAAATGAACAACCTACCCAACTCCAACAATATTAAGTTCTTTGTATGATCTTTTATGACTTTAAATTGACCTGTTTTACCTAGAATAAACATATTTCAAGTCATGAAAATATTGTCAGCTTATACTACACAGCTACTTGAACAAAATCATGATTTGAGAGGAAATAGTATCTGTGACTGTGCTGACATTACAGTTTCAATAATATTATTCTAAAGTCAATAAAGACTACTACATTATATTTTTTCCTGTGATGTTTGTCTAACTTGTCATTACATTCATGTTCTGATCTTTGAGCTTGAAGGTATCATTGAAGACTAGTTAGTCGATCTGTGTAGGTCATTAGCTTTGTAGCTGACAGCAGGTGATTAACAAGAATCAATACACTGGACTAACCATGGTATCACTGTGATAATGTCAAGCCTCCTATTGTGCCCCCAGGTCTTGAAAAGGAAACTGTCTTTGCCTTTTATCACAAACAAAAGGTCCCAGGGACAGACTGCTGTGAATAGTGGCAAGCAGCATGCCCACTTTACATTTGACACTGCTTTTGTTTGTTGTTAATTGTATATTATCAAAATACAAGTGCACATTAAGAATTAGTAATATATATTTTGTGGAAAAGCAATAAGCATAAGCTATTTTTACATAATATTTATGCTTTATTGTTTGACCAATTAATGTATAATTCCGATCTATTTAGTATGTTAAGGTTCATCCTTTAATTGGATTCAGAAAATGTTGGCACTTGACAAGCAACTACTTCTTTCTTTTTTCTATTCAAACTAATTACAAATTACACATTTATTTTTTAATAGCTATTTTCACTATTATGCATAGTATAGCCTTACTAAAGCATGAAGAAAGCCTTAATTCATAATGAACAAATAGTTTATTAAGAACCAGGAGTTAGGCTCAGGAGTTTGAGCATTAATGATGCACTTACTAAGCCTGAATCATTTGCTCAACAGTTTGCTCATTGTGAATAAAATCTTTCTTCATATATTCTCAAGGCTAAAGTGTTATTCTAATAACTACTATACATATTACAAATAACTAATTACTAATAATTACTAATCCTATCTAACAAAGTGACTACCTGTAGGCTACACATAGGAGCATAATTCTGCTACACCTGACTGCATTTTCTACAGGTCTATATGTTTTGCTACAGTATAGATTTACATGCATTGAGAGGCAGTGAAGTCAAGTTGTTGGCTTGTTGCTGCATTTGCTGGCTGACTCACCCTGTGTATGTTCTCTGAGGTGATTGTTTTGGAAGGGTTGGCTCGAGTAAAGAAGACACACACTCCCGTCAAGGCTACATCTCTGCCGTCTGTCACAAACACTTTAGGCCTCTTGGTGGCACTAGGCTGTGGGACGACAGCAGCCAGAGGTACAGGCTCTGCTGATGTTGCTCCTGCCACTGAGACAGAACAAAAGGTATCCACACTTGAACCAACACGGCATACTGTTATAAAGTTACAATAGGATTTTTGTGTTATGTCAAATGTACAAACCAAGCCTAGGTGCAGGTCATGCTTGATTGGTGAAGAAAGCAAAAATACTTACCAGCTTCTGTAGGCTCTGTATCCTGATAGTAAAACATAAGATGTGGGAGGCCCTGGGACACAAAGAACTGCTCCATGCGTTCAATCTGAAAACAAAAAAAATTAATTAATAAAACAAAACTGACCACTTCCACGCCCATAAACAGATAAACAAAAGCAACATTGTACCTGGTTCCCCTCCAGTATAGCATCTTCCACATCAGATTTCTCCAGACCCAGGCATGAAGCCACAATGCTAAAGATGTAGTCATGTCTCCCATCAAGTTGTGCTCGCTTTGCTTCACGCTCCTCCTTAAGTTTTTGCTAAAAACATACAAAGATATTTATTTACGTTTTATTGCCTTCATTTATCTTGCATGTAATAATAATTTTGCAAGAATCTGGTTATAAACTGTATGCCAGCTCCTAGCAAGAAATTCCTGTTTTTATCTGAGGTTAGATTGAATACTCTAACAAATGGTGAGACACATGTGTACCAATACTGCAGCCTTTGGTCCAGGATGTTGGGACACTAAAATCAACCACAAAGAGGTTGCTAAGTACTGCTGCTTAGTAACACAAGAACAAGGTCGACCAATAAATTAAATGAAACTGCTGCTGGTACATTGTAGCTGGCTGCTACAGGGCGGTATCTAAACTCGCTCATTTAGCCTTTCTGGGGTCTGGTGAGAATAAACATTGATGACGGTTATGACAATTATTCTGTGCTTAAAAATACTTTCATTGACGTCATATTAAGTGTTTCTTGAGGGCACACAACACTGGAAAAAGCTGCAAGAAAATAGACCATCCACACAGTTTACAGTTCTGATGCATTTTACCAAAAAGACGTGAATAGATAATAGTTGTTTTTTGCTTTGAACATCAGTCTTCCACTCTCTTTGGAATATAAAATTATACTTTCCAGCAAAGACTCTCAAAACACTTCAAGGCTCTTCAGATGTAAATACACAACTAATACTAACACCTTCAAAAACCAAAGACAATTGCCAAAGTTTCACTCTTTTTGTCTTTAGAACACACTGTGGAAAAAACAAAACAAAAACAAAAACAAAAAAACAACAAAGAAGTAAAATTTGACAGACAGTTCAAACATTGAATACAATGAGCAAATCACGAAAATAAAACAACAAGAAAAACAGGCTCTGACAGACCTTTTTTTCAGAACAAAAGGCATTGATCGATTCAGCTGTGGGTTCCATTAAAACAAAGCCTCACCCTGAGCTAAACTACGGTAAGACCACTGTGCCACTGTAATAAACGTACCGCTGTATTAAAATTACAGATTGTACAGCTGTGAGGGAAAATTTGGAACAAGACACAAGCTGTTTTGCCTTGTTAAAATAAGATGCAGTCTAACAGTCAGAACAAAATATCTAGTTCATCTTAATATACAACCATGTACAGCCAGGTTTGCTTAAACTGGACAACTTTTGCAGTTATAGAGGGTAACACTCATATAATAAACTTGATTCAAATAATATTATTCATCCTACCTGGATCACTTTAGCAATAATTCGTTTCCAGAGTACCTTCCCATACATAGTGGACCTTAATCCTCACATCCCTGATGCAAAGTTTACCATATCTGCTCTTCAAGACATATCACTTTCTCATTAGTGGGTGCACAGCGGAGCGGACACTCTCACCCATTAAGTGACGAGCCCTATCATATTGTACAGAGGACTGCACTGTGCTGAGCGAACAGGAAGCTAAGATATTTGTTTAGCTGAATGTGTGTAGTGTAAAGGAGGGGGATTTATGGGATTTTTATAGTATTGGAATTGAAGTTTTGGAAATGAAAATTTGTAATTTCAAAAGTTGAAAAAAATTATAATTAACTAATTGCACAGACCCAAATTCAAGTGGAAAATTATAACCAGGCGATTGGATTCCTGTGATTATAAACCTTCAGGATGAAATTTTCAAATTATGATTCAGTCCTTCTATGTCTACTATATAGCTCAAACACACACACACACTCCTACTAGTCAGCCTCTGTCAGGTTTAGCTACTCCAGCAACTCAGAAAGTTGAATTGTGATTACCTTTAAATTGTGATATTGGTTGTAGAATTTTTTTACAAATTTTACTCACTTAACCATTATCAATTTTAATTCTGCATGCTAAATAGTCTTTTAGTCTTTGTTATTTGTTACATTATATTATCCTTATGTTTAATTCTGTGAAAACATTTCTATGACCAAGTTGAATAAATAAGACAAAGACAAAACTGCACTCCATTCCCGCACAGGAGAAAAAGGTAAACCCTGCAGCTCACTGAAACACTATAAGATTGTTTTTCAATGATCCCTTGTCCTTATTTGTATTCCCCTTCTCTAAGCACCAGTTAGATTTCAATACGTGCTGTTTCTAATCCTGGCACATTAATCATGAATTACATTGTAGATAGCTAAGAAGCCAAGTTGTCTGTAACTTCAGAACTCTTGGGTCACCTTACCTTGTTTTGATAGTCTGCCGTAAAATGCAGCATCATTGAAGTTCACTCTGACACTTCTTTTCAAGGCATTTCCACCTCCCTAATTAGCTCAGCTTTTCTTTACAATACAGAATTACAGCTTACGACAAAGACAAGGAGACAGAACAAGTGGCTTTGCTGGAGTTTGTGAGCAATCAGCCTTCTTATTTGCCATGTGAGAAAGGTTACTGCCCTGAAATTATGAGTGTGTCTCCTAAAGGGGCACTGGTGTCGCATGACCACCTGTCTATAAGGTAATTATCAAGTCCTCCTCTCACCTTACCATGCTCTATTGACAATGACAGACAAGGCACAGAAAGAACTTTTTCCAAAGCTATCAGCTGAAACAGATACATGCATTAGACATAGGGCATATGAGGAGACATGCCGTTGACTATTATAGCAATAGAGAAATTAGTTGTAATGTGTTAAAGCTTAACCAAAAACATACAACTGAGCAAACTAAATAATGCATGAAACCTCATCTGCTATTCTGCAATTCCTACACATTATTTGGTGCAGTCTTGCAAACTACTTGGTGGACTTCTAAATCTCTTGTTTTAGATATGCACTAAAATACAGTTGTATGTCATCTTAAAAGCCTATTCTGTCCTGGTGTGATATCATAAACGTTCTCCTTCAAAACTTTCACACAGAGACCAGCAATTAGTGTGAAAGCATATTGGCTTCCCTGTGGCATCCAGCTGATGAGAGACACTGCTCACTCCATGTGGATCCCACTGATGGTTTGATATTGAATAAATGATTGTGGAGCTTTGCATTTAAAAGCAGTTTGGTCATCAATTTTTCACACAGCCATGACTGATTTTCTATGTCGGACCGTCTGGTTGGGAACTATCGTGAAACAGGAGAGTGAGTGTGAATTATAAATGAGGGGCTGGTGAGATCTAAAAGAAACAGAGCAAGAGAAAGAGGAGGCCCAGTGCTCTCCCCGAGGAGACCCATGGCAACACAGACAGTTTAGACAAATCAGATCTCACATTGAAATAAATATGTGCTCAAGCTGCCAAAATATCAAGCCAATAATGGTTGAACCCTAAAATCAGTAGAGACCAGAAAGTTATACACAACATTATATGAGATACAGCTCTTTGTTTTCAAGACTATGGAACTCTACAACAATCTATTTTCCTTTGCTTCAGTAGAGTGCTGTTGTGTTTATAAGCTAATGTAATATTAACAGCATGCAGATAACTACACCATGTTCATCCAAAGTGAATTTCACTGAAGGGCACCTCACATGCTGGAGGCCTACGTCACCCGCTCTACAAAGGCACAAGATATTTTTAGCAACAAAACTGATTTGAAATGGAAATTAGTCAGTTTCAGTTTAATAAATAAATTCTTTACTATTCATTAACATTTACATTTTTTATCAGATAATCACTATTAATAATTTGGACAAATGGGAAATCTATCACATGAATAAAATAGTTCACAGGTTAAATAAATATGGTTAAATTAATTATTGAAATAGAATCTGTGTGTCATTCGTGTGTCTAATCTTTAAGGGTCAGTGCACACTCCTCTGCTCAGTCTGATGTGGCATCACTTTTTCTTTCTGTTGTTTCAGGCTGAAGATGGTCAATGCTCAGTGTTCTCTGTGAGGAATCAAAACTCTACAGCTGCTGTTTTTAAAAATAAATTGTAGATATTTTACAATAAACTGTTGGCACTTTTGCCTTATTCACGTTACATACAGTTTGTTCTTTCAAAATATGTCAAATATCAAATTGGCCAAAATCATCTCAAGTCTATATGAGACTCACACTCTTATGTGCAGATCATTTAGGCTGACAAGCAGCATTTAAGTATTTTTTATTGGCACGATTAAAGAACTGCTGCAATATACTCATGTTTATCAGGCAGCTTAGGTATTTTTCACTGAAAATGAAAGTGCTGCATCCAAACATGGATCCTATGATCATAAAACAGCCTGTGTTCTGATAAAGGCTTAAAGCCTGAAGTGTCTGTGCTGTTCATAGACTGTGCACATTCTTTCTGCTCTGTGTGAAGCACAGACTTTATTCTCATGTCTGTGAGACGTTCACGAGGACATTGACACTGTCAGGAAAATTTAACCTATGAAATATATAAAGGTTTATATTATTGAGCTGAGGCTTTATAAACCTCTAAAATGCACTGGTATGTGACAAACTGCACAGAGTCTCTTCAAAACTTTCCTGGGGGGGAGCATGGAAAGATACATAGATAGATAGAAAGACAGACAGACAGGTGCTGGGGCAGTCTGTCAGGAGCAATGAGCTGCTGCCATACACCTGTGCAGGTTCTGCACACAAAGGAACCTTCTTGCTATGAGTGAGTGCTCAGCCACTCATCTTGACTTGAGTTTTGGTCCAAGGGTTGAGGCCCTTCTGTTCTGTCACTTTTTTGTGGTCTGAATGTAATAGTTCTGACCCTTTGGCATTGGATTTGTGACCAATGTAATCTTACAGGGATCTTTCCGTGCTGCAGGTTTCACTGGTTTTATTGGTCTGTTCATGCAGACTTTAACTCAGGTAGGTGACATTTCTGTGTGAATCGTCTCAAAACAAGACCTGAATATGCTGAGGATTTTATGTTATAGGCTTTATTTTTTGGCCTAAACTGGTCCAAAAGTGTGCCATTTTCTAAACATTGGCTCTCTTTTATGGAGACTGCTGGTCTCTCTTGGTCTTATCTGGTCTAAATGTGGAGTGGGCCAGATTAATTGTTTACACCATAATTTCCACAGGTTGCACTTGGGCCCTTGTGTGTTTTTGGTGTGCGCCTGGTCTAAATATGGGCCGGATTTAAACAGGCTGGTAAAACATGTTATGATTGGGTGAAGCTGATATTACTTATTGTAAACTAACCCTTCAACAGTTTCATTTGGAGTTAAAATGGTCTGAAAACTGGCTTAAGTTTTGGATTGTGTGTATGTTTTATATTTGGTTTGGTCTAAACTGGTCTAAACATGGGCCAGATTTGGACTGCTTTATAGAGTCTGATAGCTCTGGTCCTAACTCTGACGCTAAACTGAAAGTCTAGTAGTCTTATCCTAATCCAACTCTTCCACAGGTTCGCACAGGGTCTGTTCGTTTAAAATACGTTGACATTGCTGTTTAAACATTGTATTAACTTTACAGGGTTAAAGGTTAAATCTCATTTTAATATTTCCATGTGTGTGTTATAAAATAGTTTCGGGCTTGTCTTGTGAAATGACAGTTCTAACCCTAACTCTTCTGACTCTTCTCATTGCAGTTCTAAACTGTTTTACTTAACTTTTAAACTAGTCTTCACAGGTCCAAAGGCTGCTGTTTATTGTGAGTATGTCTGCATGCAATTATTAACACACTAACTCTGTACAAGCATGGGCGGTGGGTCTAATCCAGCCACAGAGGGCGCTGTGTGTGTCACTATGTGCCAGTCCCCAGCCTGGATAAATGGAGAGGGTTGCTTCGGCATAAAACCTGCCTCTTTTAGCCCAATCTTAAAGTGTGTATGGCAGCTTTTTCTAATTATTTTTACTTGGTTTGGTGATATTTACTTGTGGTTAATATTTATCATAGTTTTACATAGATTTTATGTTACTTTCTTGAATAAACTTGAAAAGAAAAGCACACAAATAAAGGACATAGTGGTTCTAAAAAGGAATATGTCTGTTATCAAAACTTTCAAATGCAAAAATAATACATGCAAGATGAATTCTGGACTTCTGGTCTTTGTGCAATGCATGCTGGGAAGGATCCTCTGAAAAAGTGAGCCTCAAACCGCCATGTTTGATTTCACAGTGGGATGTGTCTATTGTCAAAGCTGATCTTTTCAAGTCTTTTGAACCAAATCGCTTTTGTTTCTGGTTTGAATATTGCCATATTTTAGTTACGGGATTCAAACATCATAATTGTGTGGTTGTTGGATATTTTAACAGAGGAAAACAGCTCAAGAAATGGGCTTCAGAAGTTTGCAAAGTTCATAAAGGCAAAAGTGAATCAGATCTGTGCGACTGCAAACGCCAAGTCAACGCCAAAGCGAAAGGCACCAACTGTTCTCTAAGAAACACCTTCCACTGCAAAGTGACCAAGACGTGATGTTGCTGTAAAGTTGAACAAGAAAGTGTGAGCTCAGCCTGTTTGTCTCCTGTACCTCTCGCTTAACAAATGGGATCCAGCTTTGATGGTGCTCCACATACAAAATGTTCGCTGCAAACTCAGGATGATTTCATAGGCAGCCAAAGGTTTCCTTTTTTGTCCTTCCTGTGTATCAATACTGCCAATCGCCTTCTCCTTTCACTATTTTCCAATTCCGTTGGGAAGGGAAACAGTTTCAACGGAGGTTTGCAGTCGCACAGATCTGATTTACTTTTGCAGTTATGAACTTTGCAACCTTCTGAAGCTCATTTCTCGAGCTGTTTTCCTCTGTTAAAATATCCAACAACCAGACAATTATGATGTTAGAATCACATAACTAAAATATGACAATATTCAAACCAGAAACAAAAGCGATTTGGTACAAAAGACTTGAAAAGATTGGCTTTGACAACAGATACATCCCGCTGGGAAATCAAACATGGCGGTCTGATGCTCACTTTTTCGGAGAATCCTTCCCAATATGCATTGCACGATGACCGGAAGTCTGAAATTCATGATGCATGTATTGAACTATTGTGTAATTTTAGACACCCCCCTTTTTCACAGTGCTACTGCTAGGTAAAAGTTATGAAATTAGCTCTGTATCTGCTGTCTGTGTTTAACCAGGAAATAAAATAAAATCAGAAATCTTCATAAATATAATTTATGCCAAAAGAAGAAAACTGTTGTTTTTTCATTTTCTTATTTTTGGTTTTATATTGAAAAACAAATGAATGAATGATACACGGATTAAATAGCTTTCAGCAATCTGACAAGTTATCCAGGTTCCAGGTGTACCATGAATAAATAAAGTATAATGTATTTTTCAGTATTAGACAGGCAGCTAAAAGCATCTGTTTATTCCACATAGAAGAATGTAAATAAACCCACAACAAAGTAACAAGAGTTGCATTTATAGACTCATTATTATATTTGAATGTATTTTCTTATATGTCCGTCACAATGTATTTTCCTAATGTATTCTGATACTTGCATCCCACTTCCTTTTTGTTTTGCACAGCATGCATATAGATAATATATACATATATGGCGCCATCTGGTGGAGATACACCCAGAACCACATGGGTCAGACAGCTTTTGGCCCCATCATAGATACACAGTAAAGGTTTTGATCTGCTTGCCTCCATGGATCTTATTACTTTGTCTGGAATGTTCGACAGTATGGCATTATACTTAATGATCACAGTAATTCAATTTCATGTGTTTTATTGCTCAAATACCTGTTATAAAGACGTATTCTGCCTCTCCGCAGATCTAACCTGGAAACTTGGTCCAGTGACGTGATCTGCTTGTCTCAATATGGCTGGATAAATAACCATGACCATACTGTGGAAAATTCCAGGCAAAGCAATAACATATGCGACAAGCAGATAGCAGCTCCTACTCTTGGAAAGTTACATAGTGCACCTTTAAGTACAAGTGGGTAGGACGATTTATCTAGATTTTTTTCCAACAACTTGTAACTTTCCAAACAGACTACATAGTAGGTGTGTAGAATAAAAGTCCAACCTGTATTTCCTTGAATATTTCAGATGAAGCAGCAGTCTGGCTAGGTCTGTTTCTGTAGCCCACTTTAGCGATGCGTGAGTTAAGCGACGTCATGGCGTAAAAAACATTCCTTTACTAATCTCCCGCGGTAGTCCTTTCCTCAGCGACATCTAATAATTTTTACAATCACTGTAAAATGTCTTAAAGACTTAAAGCTGACAAAGGAAAGCCTGTATATAAAGGTAGCATCCAACGAAACAGGCACTGTAGAAATCACGGTATGTTGTTGGGAGTTTCTATGGCAACCGAGTGCATCAGTGGGGTTGGTACCCGAGTTAAAGCATCTGACAAAGTTACACATTAACAAGGGACACAAACAACACAACTGGTAGTTTTACAGAAGAAATTTATAAAAGTAACTTTTACGCATTAAAGACTGACTTTTGCGGATTTTTGGATTATGGGCTCCTACGGATAGTAATGCAGTTTTAACCCACTACTATAGACGCATTTATGACTCAGTTATGAGCACTAAAATTGTTTGAGTGAAAGAAAAATTGTTTACTCATGTATATGATAGCTATCTGGATTATCTATGGCATATCTTGCAATTATCCGGAGAGAGCCTCTAGGTGGCAGACGTACGCCACACACGACTGGCGGAACGACACAACTGCAGCTGTCCAAAGAACTAGGTTAGGTATTTGAGCAAATTACCTCATAGGTTTATATATTTGTTAACATTACCATTGCATAAAAAGCATTAACTGTACATATAATTATTATTAGAAAGATTATGATTCTGGTATATACTGATGCTGAAATGCTGAAACACTGAATGCTTGACTGCAGTGTTCCTAAAGCATCACTGCTGTATCAGATTTGGGAGATAACCAGATGTCTTCTGTATGCTAGCCCTGTTCCAGTGACATCATCCATAACATCTAGATAAGAAATGAAAAATGAGCAGGCTCGACTCCCACGTAACCCGCATCAGCACCGCAGTATATGGGGCTGGGGGGCTGCAGCTGATGTGCACTATTTGGGTTGTGCGCACAATGCACCAATCCCCATCTTCTCCCCCCTTATCCGAAACGGAATCCCAGGATATCCCACCCACACCCACCCCCCGAAACGGAATAGCCCTCCTCTCTCGCTTTATCCCCTCCTCTATTACCTCAGCCTTTGCTTACTACACCCCCTCTCCTTGCTTCTCCTCCTCAGCCTCACGTCCCAAACTCGGGAGCGCCGCATATCGGTCGCCAGGATTTTCCCATCCAAGCCAAAATGGAGGAGGAGGTCTGTCGCTTATTGAAGGCAGCACAGATTGTATGACCGGATCTGTCTCAATGAAAGGTATCAGGGCACAGTATTCCTTTTAGAAAGGCATCGCAGCAACGTTAGGAAAAAGCCTCTGCGGATTTCTATCGCTGTTTGTGCGCCCGCAGCCATGAGCGCAGCGGAGGGACTGGAAGAAGCTGCGAAGGACGCGGCAGACATAGCGGCGTTTTTCAAATCCGGTAAGTCGGTAAAGGGGCGAGTCAGTATCTGGGAGGCTATGAGAGAGCTATCGGTGTGATTGTTGGAGTGCTGAAATAAGAAAAGCAGTAAGAGGTCTTGCGTGATAGACGCGTTCACTGGGCGATGTACCAGAGACCAAACAGAGATGAGCTCTTAACCACTATCTGTCTTGTGACATGTCATCCTGCAGTCTTTGATGACAACACCTCCCCTGTAATGTGCTTTTGATTATCAGTCATGGTGACCCCATTTTGGCTTGGATCAAGTGAAGGCTGAGGTGTGGACGCTGCAGCTCGTTTATTATTTCGTCATAGCTGGTTTTACATCATGACATATTCTACCCGTGTCCTCTGTATTTGGTTATACCGTTCTTGTGTAAATATAACGACATTGTGCAAGAACGTGACAACATGCAGCATCCATACTCAGGGAGGCTAGGCCATCATCACGCAAGGATGGCCAATGGGTTGCACTCTACGCACTGGGCCTGTCTGATAACGATGGCATCATCATAACAAATAGGCCTGGCGACCTCCTCACTGTGCACTTAAAACAAAACACATTTTATACATCCCGGGGGCAGAAACGCTGGGGCCTATAGCCTGAAAATAACAGGATTGCCTGTGCCTGTACATTGTTTTGCTATTGTAGCCTTGCCATAGGACGCTGAAAAAGTATATTTTTGCATGTATTTATTGTATGAATGCATACTTGGACCTGTGAACATGAGGAGTTCTTAATATTCCAATGTAATTTTTACTTCCACTTGATCATGATGGGATGTTAATTTATCGTGGTTATGTGAAAACAACTTATTCAATTGATGTTTTCTAGTGAAACAGCTAAATATTACCTTTAGTATATGGGCTATGGTAATAAAGGTATTACCAACTTATAACTTCTGTAAAACACCACATATTTTTATACCACTGTGGCACAGACACAAAGTCTGTCGGAAGTGCTGTCACAGTCAAATGTGTGTAGATTCTACTGAGGGCTTGGGTGTCACCACTGTGGAGCAGGACCACCACTGATTCACACCAGAAAGCAGCTGTCCCTCTGGTGCTCAGCTGCTTCTGTTTGCTACACCTGGTGCCATGATTCTGCTGCTCCCACATCAGCCTTTTAAATACAGGAACACACACATTGTCAGCATCACTATTCCTATTATACACTTGTATCTAATATTTAGCAGCATGCATTTTTGAAGCATGCATAAGATTGCAGTGTCTGCATAACTTCCTTAGTACCTCTAGGTTTTTTGTGAGTTCGACAGTTAGGAATGTTGTTAAAATGGATTGTATTCAAATATTACAGTTTCAGTTATGGTTGACTGGACAACTGCCAGTGTATTTCCCTATAGCTGTGTTGTATCAGGCTGGAAAGTTGGCTCTTGTTGTAGTTGGGCTCTTTGGATGTTTATATAGCAGCAAATGCAGTTCATATAGTATTTATGATGGAGACCAAAATAGGTTGGAGGCTTAGGAAACCTTTATATTGTAAGATATAGTATAGAATTATGTTGGTTTTAAAAATAGAGATGTAAGGGTTTAGGATATTGCACTGTAGTACATGTGATGACTTGCCACAATTAATCACCCCCTTTATTCTAGCATTAAGTTCAACATAAAATCTCACGGAGTGAATACACCAAGACTAAGGGCATGCACTGCAACCAAACCCTTAGGCTGTCAGTTTGCTGTTTAATTTCTTAGGCATTTTTGGCAGATTCATTTTCTTGGCTTTTGGTAAAGGTTATATCATCATGTTATCACTGTTGGATAATAATTAAAAAAAAAAAAAAAAAAATATATATATATATATATATATATATATATATATATATATATATATATATTTATTTTTTTTTTTTTTGGAATCTGCTACATAATAATTGTCAATATATTAAGGCGGTTTTATGAGTCCATTACGATGACACCACAACAATAAAAGTTGAATTTCCTACTAGCTTTTACTTCTTGTATCTATATTTAGAGACTTTGTCCATAAGAGCTAGTTTTAACCGGTATTCTTTCATAAATAGCCCTGTGAGTGATGTGTAATTTATTTAGTAGACCCTTACAATGGTATTATTTAAACACAAGCTACTTTGTAACTCAATTGGCGTAAAAGCTTCAAGCTCGGTGATTATGTAATATTAAATAACTGTCACTGGAATTTGCAGGTGAGCCATTACAAAGTGGCTGTGCTATTTTAAGACCACATTGAAATAACAAGTGCAACAAAAATAGCCTGTACTTTGATGTGTAGTAAAATCAGCTTTACCTGTGTGGTGAAGAAAATAATAAATACATCAACAGTAGCAGCATCATTACTGACGCAGCAAGCCATTTTCTACAAAGTAAACCCAGTGACCTGTGGCACTGAAGACTGTAATGAAAACCACCTCATGGAGCAGTGATTCTTCATTTTCTCAAAGCACAGTCAATGAAAGAATAATGACATAAAGTTATCTTGTGAGCCAAGCAGAAATCTTATATAATCATGTAGATGAGGAGGAGAGGACATCAGCAGTGCATGCAACTGGCTCTGAAGTAATATATTTGGATGAAACTGAAATAGTAATACTTTGAACATAATCACTCCTTTTGTAACAGTTTTTATAGTATTATGACAAAAGGAAAGTCAAAGTGAATGACAAGAAATAGGCTACAAACAGAGTTACATTCATCAAATTATAGAGATGAGGTTTGGGTGGAGCTGCCCAGCAAAAAGCAGGCTGCTCCCATCCTCTCTCTGTGAGACTGAAACCTTTGGGCTACATCTACGGGCAAACTAATTGGCAGTTGGTTAGAGTTAAAGGCTATGTCTCGTATGGCATTTTCTGCACTCCAAGATGTGGGCTGTCTTGCTGCGAACATGAAGTAAAAAGAAGATCCATGTCCAGTCAGTGAAGTACATTGTCTGTTACATAAGTTGCGGGTTATTAAATTGACTTTTGTTATCAATGTGCACATGTGTTACAGCCAAAAGTAGTCTTGTCTTCATGTAAAAAGAGCAAAAGCATCTAATTAGTTCAGCAAAAGCATATTTTCTCTTCTTTTATAAATACAAACAGTATCTCTTCAGTTAAGTCATACATTGCCTGCAAGCTTTTAGTGGAAAGATTTATGAGGATGGCAGTCACAAAGGTAGCACTGCGAGCCAATTACCTGTTTTACAGCCAGAACGGACGGATCGATCTCATCACAGACTCTGACCTTTTCCACACTCATAGTAATACACCATACAAGCGTGTCACCCCATTCTCTATTAGACCTAATTATTGATTTAAACTGCAATACAGAGGATGACACTTGTAATGACCAGCATGAAGTCCAAGCTTGTAAAGGGTCTATGGGTCTAAGGCCGACGTGGGTGTTATTCAGCTCAAAGACTACCATCAATGTATTAAACTGTTGTCTAAGCACTGCAAAACAATCATATAAAAAGTAAAAAAAAAACTAATCCAATCCAATCCAAAGGGTGGCGGCTCAGTCCCAACTCTTGTCGGGGCATACTGTTGTGTTTTTGGGCAGAAAACATCACCTACCTTACCTGCTATGCTGTTATATTGTGGAACAAGGAACGGA